TAATGGACTGGATGAGGGTTAATAAACTGAAACTCAATCCAGACAAGACGGAAGTGCTGTTAGTGGGTGCTTCACCGGACAGGCTGGAGGGCCATTTCCCCACCCTGAATGGGGTTACACTCCCCCTAAGGGACAGGGTCCGCAGCTTGGGGGTGCTCCTGGACCCCAGTCTAACACTGGAAGCTCAGGTGGACTCGGTGGCCAGGGGCGCCTTCCTTCAGCTGCGGAAATTATACCAGCTACGGCCCTACCTAGACGAGCGGAGTCTCATGACAGTTACACATGCACTGGTAACATCTTGTATAGATTATTGCAGTGCGCTCTATGTAGGACTGCCTTTGAAGATGGTCCGGCGATTGCAACTGGTCCAGAATCGAGCTGCGCGGCTGGTGAGTGGTAGGGCCGCTAGAGAAGACATCAAGCCGATTCTGATTAAATTACTTTGGCTACCAGTTGCTCCCTCAAGGAGGTAAGCGGGATGGCTTGTAGACAAAGGGCCTTTTCGGCAGCTGCCCCCAAACTATGGAATGCCCTCCCAACTGAAATTCGTCTGGCGCTAACTTTGATGACATTTCAGCACCAGGTCAAAACCTTCCTCTTCCAGAAGACTTTTAACTGAAATAACATCAACTGTGGGTCCCAATGGCAATTTTTATTGTATTTTAATCATTTTATTTTTAAATTGAATTTTAATTGCATTTTAACTGTTGTAAGCCGCCCAGAGACCTTTGGGTAGAGTGGGCAGCATATAAGTTAAATAAATTAAATAAATATAAATGGGACCAGGCTCTGAGGGAAATAATTGCTGTATTTGTCATGGCACTGAGAAAGGCAGCGTGGTTATGTGAGTTTTCCAACCTCGAGGAAGCCCTCTGTGATCGATTGTTGTGTGGCCTTTGGGATGAGAAGTTCCAGAGATGACTCTTTGTGAGGAGGAATCTGGACTTCAAGGCAGCCTGTGAGGAGGCCATTGTTACAGAAGCCGCAGAGCAGTCGACGAAGGAGGTCCGCCAGACGCAGCTCCCCCTTCTTCGTGCAAGATCAAAGTTGTCCACTAAGAGCGCATTGAGGAGTCCTCCTCTATGGATGAGAATAATGACAAATGTCACTAGTCAAAACTAAGAAGGGATGCAGTTCTCCCAGGGGGGCCTATGTGCAGCTGTGGAGGGTCCCACCAGAGGAAGATATGTCAGTTACGAGACAGGGAATGATCTATTTCTTTAATATACTTTGTGTATATTTCAGTCTAACTCCAAGGCAATTTATAATACATGAAATTAGTATAATAACTACCTGGTGGCCTTTGTTATTGTGGTTGGTTTCAGTGTCATCAGATCCTGCCCTTGAATCTTGTGGTTTCAGGACAGCTTGAATAACCTTTGCATACTTAATGAGATGAAAGGTGTAGCTTCTTTGAAGGGTACAAGATTTTAAGGATATTCTGCTGCTTAGCCCTCCTGCGTGGAAGAACTTTGCTGCCTCTGAGAAGGCTAGAGATTAAGATTTTCGAAATTACCTCTTATGGAAGACATACCCACAAGAAAGTTCAACAAATACAGTGTTGTCTCTTCAGTCCCATAGTGAAATACCTGCACAGCATACTTTATATGGTTCTGGAAGGTCAGGAGAGCCCAGTCTGCACTACAATCCACTTCTTAATTGGGAAAAAAAACCACATACACCAGGAAATCATATCATGGAAGGGGAATGGGTTGCCTTTCAGGAATGCCTGTTTCTTGTAACATCTAATTGGATCCATCTAAGTGGATTTAATCCACTGATTAAAGCCTTCAGTTTTCAATTTTGTGATAGATATAACTTCATCTCATTGTGTGGTGTGAGGGCCAAGCGTACCTTGACATTGAAAAAGAAAATCTTTTATCAGTGGCAGTCTGCCAACGTTAATGATGTCGCTTATGTTCAGTTGATGGAGCTGCATAACAGAATTTGTGGCATGCTCTTTCAGGAAGCCCAAATCCTGGAGATCCCTCGATCTTTTGCGCATTTTCTCTGCACAGGTAGGAGGAGCCATCTAGCAATAGGACAGGGAGAGCCACCATAATTGTCAGAAATTGTGATTCCACAGCAACGGAACTCAGTTCCACTGGTAGGTCTTAGATGTTCTGGATTAGTTAGGTCTCTGTTTTCCAGACTGCATGGAAGAACTGACCGGGGATCTCAGGGAAAAGGAACAGTGTCTGCACGTTTTCAATGTAGTACTGCTGAGAAATGGGCTATGAACAACCTAAATAAATAATGTTCCCTGTAACTTTATTGTCCTTGAAATTTCAAAGTTTTCCTGAAGTGTTCAAACCCAAGAGGGGGACATTTTAATGTTGGTCCAGCTGTATTTTCAAAAGATGAAAGAGCTAATAGGTAGTACTAGAAGATATTTTTCGACCCCACCCATGAACATATATAAAAGCAGTAGGAAAATTATTATGTCTAGTGAGACTGATTTACAATATTGTCTATTGAATCCCCCTTTGAAAGTTTAGCTAAAAACATTGATACATGAAATTATTAGATTTATATGATAAATTGTAATACTTCATTATACTCAACAAATATACATGTACACTAAATCATTTAATAATGCATTTTAAATATTGTTCTGGCTTTTTTTTTTACAGCTGTTCCTGAATTGGTAAAATGATTCACAATAAAACAATTTATACTTTGCTGTGTTTCATGGCATTGGTTAATAGATTCTGTTTGGCAGGTAAGTTGAACTTTTTGTATTCCTCTTTCTATTCTTGAATTTTAGTCTAAAGCAAACATCTTGGAAGAAAATTGTGTAGGAAATCAAATTATATTTATCTTGACGTATATATTGCTAGGATTAGCAGGAAACAAATTTGCTTTTTATCTCCCTGGTGTTGATAGAGGCTACACAATATATAATCAGCTTTTTCTTTCCTCCTCCCCCCATTGCTTGCCCCTGTCTTGTTGAAATGTGTTCTATGATGCAAAAACTGTTTATATATATATATTTATTGTGTATTTTATGCTGTAAGCCGCCTAGGGTGGTCTTAACCGACCAGATAGGCGGGATATAAATAAAATAAATAAATAAAATAAATAAAATTTATAGTTTTCTTACTTTACTTGGATGAATCCTAGAAAAGCATTCAGAAGATTTTTGGCAAGGGATATTTGTGTCCAGGAGCTAATAATGTGTGGGAATTAGGAGTTTGATTTTTATGAGAACCATGGAAGGGCAGTAAAGATTTGAACCTACCTTCCCTGCGTGCTGTAATAATAACGACAGCAACACTATTCAGAAACTGTTTACTATTCTCTTATTTTAGGAGCACTCTGGGACCGTGCAGCTTGTCCAAGGCTACACAGGCTGACTTTTCTCCTGGAAGGCACAGTGAGAAAATAGACTTCCAGGCTCTATTTCTGCAGCTAGCTAACCATCTCACTGAGCTGCTTAGCTAGCGTGCCATAGTTGCAGTGAAATTGACAAAATCTCTATAAAACAACAATGTGCATATGAATCCAAATGGGATTCATTTAGTAACTTGTGGATAGCTCAGAGAGTTAAGTATGTGGCTGCAGAACCAGCAGGTGGGAGGTCAGCTCCCCACTTTGCCTCTGACGAGCTAGCCTTGGGCTAGCTGCACAGTCCCAGGATGGCCCCAGGAGAAGAGAATGGCTTTTGAGTTGTCTTTACCTAGAAAGTGCAGGTGGAGGAGACAAGATTGCAGCTGGAGACTGACAAACAAATAGTCAAGGAATACATCACTACCTTGAACGAGTTCAAATCTCCAGGGCTGGATGAACTGCGTCCAAGAGTATTGGAGGAGCTGGCTGAATTGTTCTCAGAACCTTTGTACATGATTTTCTTGAGATCATGAGAAATTGGTGACGTGTCAGACGATTGGAAAAGGGCTAGCTAATGTTTTCCCTGTCTTCAAAAAGGGCAAAAAGGAGGAACCTGGCAACTATAGACCAGTCAGCCTGACATCATTCCCAGGGAAAATTCTGGAACAGATTATTAAGCGGTCATTGTGCAAGCATTTAGAAAGCAATGCAATAATAGCTAGAATCCAACAAGATTTTCCAAGAACAAATCCTGCCAGACTAAGTTTATCTCATTTTTTGATTGGGTAACCTCTCTGGTAGAGGGAATGCTGTAGACATAGTATATCTTGACTTTAGCAAAGCTTTTGACAAGATGCCTCATGATATTCTTATTGTCAAGCTAACTAGATATGGGCTGGTTACATCAAGTGTCAGGTGGATTCAAAGTTGACTACAGAATCGTACTCAGAGGGTAATGATGTATGGCTCCTTCTCTAACTGGGAGAGGTGACAAGTGGGATACCCTAGGGCTCAATCCTGGGTCCAGTGCTGTTCAACATTTTTATTAATGACCTGGATGAGGGGGTGCAGGGAATGCTTGTCAAATTTGTGGATGACACAAATACCCTGGAAGACAGAAACAACATTCAAAATGATCTACATAGGTTTGATCAGGGACAAGTGCAAAGTACTGCATCTAGGAAAAGAAACAGAACACAGTTACAAGATGGATGATACCTCACTCAGCAGTATTGCAAGCAAAAAGGATCTTGGAGTACAAGTTGTAGATCACAATCTGAATATGAGCCAACAGTGTGATGTGGCTGCAAAAAAGGCAAATACGATTTTAGGCTGCATTAACAGAAATATAGTCTCCAAATACTGCCAGGTACTAGTTCCCCTCTATTCAGCACTGGTTAGACCTCATTTTAATATGTATGTATACTTATTTATAATAAAGTCTCCTCGGTTTGTTTTGTCTTTTACAGATATGGTATTTGCAGTCTTGCTTTCAGTTTCTCTGATGTCACTATTTTTTTATTTTTAAAGTAAAGCAGAGGTGGTGCTGCACATCTCCATATGTTCTTCATTTCCTGTGATAGAAAATTGGTCAATTTTGAATTTTTCAAAACAGTCTCAGTCAAAAGCCCTTACTTCTTAGAAGAAAAGCAGGCCACATTTGTCCCGGGTGGAGTTATGGGGGGCAGTAGGAGTGATGGATGAGTAGGAAGATACATTTGTCTTTATAAAATGTAAAACTGTCCAAATAAATGCATGAAATATCTGCTGTCTTATTACTCCTGATTGTAGGTGTATTACAGAATCCTGGAAATATGTCTTGCATTTTTCACTATCAATTACCGCAGTCGCCAAATACTCTTATTTGCAACTGGACTCCTGCAAAAGAAACAAACTTGGATGCAGACTATGTTTGTATCAGGAAACCGTAAGTCTTAAGTGGCTGGTTAATATTAAATAAAGTGCTGGTTAATATATGACTTCATTGCAAGTCTGCATTTTCTAGACTGGAGTAGCCCATACACAACCCTCTCAAGGCCTTTCCAAAATATTTATTTCTATATAACATAGTCTAATAATTTTTTTAATTGCTTTAAATTTTATCTCTATTTAATGTATGTGCATAATTTTAATTTGTTCAACACTTTGATACAAATAAATACCTAAATAAATACCTGAATCTATCTTCATTGCACTGTATCTCTTTCCATTGCATTTGTGTCTTTTTCCGTAGGAGATACCTGTTTAGGTGCACTTACTGGTTGGCAGGTATTGTTCAGTACCTGTTGACTGGGATGTGTCATTTATACTTCAAAAACCTGTGAAACCTGTTTGACTCCAGCATAGCAGTGGAATGGACACAACTGATGTCCATATTTAAAGGAAAGATGCATTAATCTCACAATTGTTTTGGCAATTGTATATAGCTCTGCTTCTGCATGTTTTCATTTACCTTAATTAATTTTTCTAGCATAGAGAACAATTGCTTTAAATCTCTCCCATTATAGCCTGTGAGATCTGAAAATGCTTAATCTTTAATCATTATAGCTAATTAAAAGTACATTCGATGGAAGGAGTTCTCCTAAATTTCTTTCTAGATTTAAATGCTAACTGTTTCTCTTTTTCGAATGTAAATGCTTACTGATTTACATCTTTTCTTTTGTATTTTTTGATAGTGATGCTGGAGTCCAGGATGAAAGAATATTGACAAATTATTCATGTATATTTCATGATGTTCCCTTATTGTCGTCTTACTGCATCTACCTGAAGGCACCAGATCCCTTTGGAACATCAAAGTGTACACACTTTCACTCTGCAGAAATTTGTAAGTTTCTAGCAACAATTTGAGGAAATATAGTCCATTATGATGTGCTTGGTCTGTTAGTTCTTACTCAAGTTTTGTTAAGTGCAAAACATAAATGTTTGTTGCACAGAAGATTAAGTATGGATTTTGAAGAGATTTGATCTTAATTATTCCTACTCAGTGTTTTAATATGCACTATAACCAATGTTCCCTTGAAGCCGCAGATGCCGCTGCATCAGGTATGTGTAGCCAAGCGCGTGTATCCCCCCGTTTGCTTCCATTTACATCTGGAACTCCATGCAAAAGAGGTGAAGCCTCCACACATTGCTCTGGAGAATTAGAGGGAACATTGACTATGACAATTCACAAATTGGCCTTTTTTCTATATATCACCTTTGTTATCTCCCCATCACAGCTGATATGAAAGATTTCTCTTGGTATGCAGTAGTCTGCAGGCCTTTTGTTTCTGATCATGGGGTTTTCTTGGCAAAGATACTGGAGTGGAATTGCCGGTTCCTACTCCAGGTGGATTGCATTTAGTCGGAACTCTCCACTATGACCTGTCCGTCTTGGGTGGCCCTGCACAGCATAGCCCATAGCTTCTCTGAGTTACTCAAGCCCCTTCACCAGGACAAGGCAGCAATCCATGAATTCTAAAGGAAATCAACCCTGAGTGCTCACTGGAAGGACAGATCCTGAAGCTGAGGCTCCAATACTTTGGCCATCTCATGAGAAGAGAGGACTCCCTGGAAAAGACCTTAATGTTGGGAAAGTGTGAAGGCAAGAGGAGAAGGGGACGACAGAGGATGAGATGGTTGGACAGTGTCACCGAAGCAACCAACATGAATTTGACCCAACTCCGGGAGGCAGTGGAAGACAGGAGGGCCTGCTGTGCACTGGTTCATGGAGGTCACAAGGAGTTGGACACGACTTAACAACTAAACAACAATACTTGTAGTCTCTTATACTTCAATATTTCCACAATGATCAGAAAAATTGTTTAGCAGAACCTTGGCTAAGCCAAAATTTTTAGTATACAGTAATTTATATTTCCTTAGGTCTACCCAACACCAATTGTATACAAGGATTAGTACAACCAAAGAAAACAAACAGCCAACATTTTAAAGTAATACACATATATTTTGGTCTCCTTCATGAAAGTTACAACTTTCATGGCCTGCCGTGCTCTGGTCCATGGGGTCACAAAGAGTCAGACACGACTAAACGACTAAACGAACGAATGAATCTGTAGGCAGATCCAGATGTAAAGCCTTATGTTTAATGAGCCTGCAGATTACATCTCTGTCATCTCCAGTTAGAGGGATTAGAAAATAAGTGGTGTGAAAGACCTAAGAGCTGTTGCTAATCTGAGAGAATAGTTTCTGGAGAAATAGCCTGACCTTGTATAAGATAGGTTCTTTTCTCTTAATTCTGCAGTGAGATAGAAGGCAATAATTTATACCAGCAGATTTCTAGATTCATTTGGTTTCTAAGATGTTTCACGAAATTTAACTATAGATTTGTGAGGTTATATTTCATTACGTTAACTTACAGATAAAATAGAAAGTAAACCAGCAATAAGAATCTTGTTTGTGGTTGTTTGCATGTCAATTAAGTTTTATTAATGACATCGTCCTCTTCACCCCTGTGCCCTATAGTGGAGAGGCCAGCAATGAGCATTGTTGGTCCTTTTCTGGAAAGCATCCCAGTTCTGAAAGTCATGCCCTGGGGATGTTTGCCTCATCCTACTGATTATTTTTATTTTACCTTTGCTGTTGTTGCAGTTTGTGTGTCCTGATTTGGGGAAGGGGGATCATTAATGATTTTGTTGTTGGCTTACAACTATTTCAAATTGTTATAAGCCGCTTGTAGGTCTGAAGAGGCGTAACAATATAATATGAAAGAAAGACTTCCACTGTGGAGAGATGTTTAGTTCCTTATATATTGAGGAAATGGTACGTCCTGTATATAGCAGAGTTCCTTTTGTTGTCCCTAGTAAATTGAAAGTAAAATTGTGCATTCATCATTTGTAAGTGTAATACTTTTTTCAAAAAATTTCAGTGAAACCTGATCCTCCTCAGCTAAATGAATTAGAACCAGTTCCAGGGATGAAGCAAATGCTAAGAGTTTCCTGGACAGGCCCTCAGAAGTTACCACGAAGTACGAAGTATGTTGCTGATAGAAAGTACGAAATTCGATACACAGCGACTACAAAAAATCACTCGGTAACCTAAATCTTTATAGCACTGCAATTTTTATACATCAAATAACTACTGGAAAAATACATAATCTATAATAAACGATATGCTATAACACATAAATGATATGCTATAACAGAAATTGTCTGTTATAGCATTTGGCATGTTTCAGTAAAGTAGAAAAAATATTTTTTTTTGCTCACTTTTGAAAAAGTTTGAAGTCTCCTAATAAGACAGCTACATGGAAGAAGATCTCACTGGCTATCGTCTTGGTGCCAGAATGGATGATTCCCCCAATTAACAAGGACAAATAGATTTAGAAACAGTTTTTATCCAAGAGGGAGGACTTTGCTAAATTCAGTTAAGATTTAATCTGACTTTATTGTAGAGTTGTGTGGCAATGTTTTTTGTTGCCATTGTATTATGTTGGAATTTTATAAGGAGTTTACATGGAGTTTTAGCTGAATGAGTGATGTCTGGGTAGCACTCTGTTGATTTTGTTGCACATGCAATGACAATAAAGTGTTATTCTATTCTATTCTATTCTATTCTATAACTGATGTTGTACAGCTTCACAATCAGTCCAGAACATGACTGTCATTACTAAATGGTTTTTTTGTTAATTAGTTATTCTTATTGTATTGGCAGATATATTTGGGTTGATCACAATTGCAAGAATTGCTGTGGAATCCTCTTTCTTAGATGCAGTTGTGTGAGTTGCATGACTATAACTGCTTGAGTATCATTCACTCATTACAGGATGAGAAGGAAAAGCAATTCAACCCATTTGTTGAAACACTCCCCACCCACTAAAAATCCCCCACTAAGAATACAAACATCTACACCACAGGCTAAGTAGCACTGTCCAACTATTCACTACTGGTGGTCTTTAAGCTCATTATTAAGTGCAATTATAGCTCTGGGGAGAAAAACTATTCACAAAAAGTGTGATCTGAGTCTAAATTGTTCTATATCTTCTGCCAGGCGGCAACAGTTCAAAAAAGTTGTAAGCAGGATGGGAAGAGACTCTCAGGATGCTGTGTGACTTCCTCATACAGTGGGATGTGAAAATGACGTCCAGGGTTGATAGCTGGAGCCCAATGATATTCTGGGCAATTTTAATGGTTCTCTGTAGAGCTTTTTTGTCCGTTACAGAGCTACTCCCAAACCATACCAGAATGCTTGTAATTAATCAAATCAGATATTTCTGGCAAGTTGTAGACATTGGTAAGTTTTTCAGTGCGGGAGGCAATGATTCAAGTTATGTTTCCTTCCTGTAAATTGTCAAGAAAAGAAATTGAATGCTTTTGATGATAGATGGTGGAGACAGGATTATAGTTACACTCTTTAATCCGTAACTTTGCATTTTCAGAGTACGATGTTTGTCCCTGGAAACCAGACATCCATTAATCTCACAAATCTATTACATTGTACAAATTATACTGTTGCTGTTCGGTGCCATCTTAACGGATCAAAGTTCTGGAGTGAATGGAGTAATGTGAAAACAGGAACACCAGAAGAACCAGGCAAGGAAATGATACGTACATATAAGCTTTCAATGAGTCTTTTATGGTCAGGAATGAATTTTTACTGTATTAGAGCCATTTGTTGTATTTTAAGACCAAAATTATATATTGCTGTCTCTTCTGTGGATATTTTCTTCTTTTGGGAGGGACGTGTCTTTTAGCAGCAATTTTTTTTTATTTTAGTCTTAATCATTTTTAGAGGTATATGTGTGCATGTTTGTATTTATAGTTAACATAACCATGATGGGTGAGGCAACAGTAGGAATATATCACAATAAAGGAGTTTTCAGGACTCCTTTATTGTGATATAAAGAAGGCATTTTTAATCAAAAAGTGTGTCTGTATATACTTTACTGATTCACAAGGCAAGCACATTCAAAGGAAGATACTGTAAATCTTAGGAAGCAGCGGAGATGGAACAGAAGGGCAAATATCTAAAAACTCTAGAAATAAAAAGACAACAAAGTGAAATAATGTTGGTGCTGTTTTTTCTGAAGATTTTAAAGTTTGTTATTGGTTTAATTAAATAAGAGATACAGTGCCACTGGAGCCTCATGGCGCAGTGGTTAAACCGCTGTACTGCAGCTAAAACTGTGCTCACGACCTGGGGTTCAAATCCCAGGTAGCCGGCTCAAGGTTGACTCAGCCTTCTATCCTTCCGAGGTCGGTAAAATGAGTACCCAGCTCGCTGGGGGGGGGGGCAATGGGTAGCCTTCATAATTAAATTGTAAACCGCCCAGAGAGGGCTTGAAGCGCTATGGGGCGGTATATAAGCAGCACGCTTTGCTTTGCCTTAATGCAAAATGCAACATATGTGATCTAAATTACATATTGGATATATATCAGAATTTTATATGTACCTTTCTGTGGGGATGGATATTTGGGAGTTATTTACTGTAGTTGATTAATCTGGTGATCACACAGCTATACTGTTAAACTTGCCCAGAACACCTGTAGCTAGAAAGAATACATCTCCCTTATTTGCACTTTGTAGCAGTGATTTTTTTTAAAAAAGGTAGGCTATTTGTCCCTGCTCGGCTTTGAAGATTATGTAGAGTACTCACATTCTATGCACAGGTATGCAGGACTCAATGATACAGAGAATCTGATATGAAGAGTGGTTTGGGGGTTGGGGTTGGCCTGTAATAATGTTATAGTAACATACATCTATGTTGGCTGCATCTGAAGTCTCTTTTTTAGTATGTAATAGACATGTACTGAATTTGCCAGTGTTTATATATTTTTTCTTATACAGTAGTTAAACATTTTTGTTTCTTAAAGCAGTGGTAGTTGCAGAACTGATACAGAACTGGCACAGTTCTGCATAGGTGGAATTTTTGCCTTTGGTTTGTGTGAGAAATCATTTCTGCACATTATACAAGTATTATTGGCTACAGCCTTCAATCTAAATATATTAATGAGAGATGGGGCTGGCATTGATTGTTTTTGGTCCCTGTTATTTATTCAGTATGATCTGAAGAAAATGTTTTGTTGAATAATCAGTCATGAAGTTCCATAATGCCTTCTGCTTATAGTTGCTGAAGGAGTTACTAATGGGTACTGATTGATAAAGGACCTGCTTAACTGTGTGTGTCCTTTTCTTGTTGTGATGTATTTCTGCTTATTGCTGAAAGAAGACAGAGGTCTAACCCCTCTACATCGATACAAGCAGCAGCGGTGCAGTGGTAGTCATTTGGTAGGGCTGTTGGAGCTGCTCAAATATTTTGCTTTAATGCTCTTAATTCAGTTTTTCTTAATTTATTAAGATCCTTTGAAAGTAGACTTGTGGAGAGTAATTGAACTGCATCCCTCTAGTGGGAAACGAACAGTACATCTTTTGTGGAAGGTGAGTAAAACACTGGACATTCTGACATTGTAATTTTTTCTGGTTTAATATTCAAGTAGAGAAGCTACTGTGCAGTTTGATGCTTGTACATTTTTGGGTATACTTGCTTTCAGGGCTTACTCCTTGAAAAAAATTAGAATTTTCATTTTGGAGAGTTGCTGGGATACTTTGCAGCTTTAGAATTAGAAGCCATAATCTGTGATTACTCTGATTTCTGAAGAGATTTCCCTAGCAAATAATTTTTTCCCATCAGTTAAAATTAGGTTAATATTTGCTTGGTAAATACAAGTAGACCAAACACTGGCATTGGTTTGTTTCTTTCACAGAATTCTGTCCAAAAGTTTCTTTGCTTTTCCTGAAAATGAGAAAGTACATAAAAAGGATTACAAGTTGGTTGAAATACAGACAACATTGACTGCAAAACATAAAGTACAAAATGTAAAGTAGGAGTGATATCTCTAGACATTTTCAAAGCTTTAGATTCAGTTGAATGGGATGCATTAAAACTCTTGATTAAACAGATTGGACTTGGCACTCAGCTTAGACAAATAATACAACAACTATACTCACAGAACTTTGCAAAAATAATAATAAACGATGGTATGCCTGAATCAATATTCCTAGGCTAAGGAACAAAACAAGGTTGCCCTGTATCTCCAGTCCTATTCACATTGGTAATAGAAGTGCAGGCACAAGTAATCAAAAATGGTTGTTTAACTAATGGCATAGATACTAGAGAAGAAGATAATATAAACTTGTTTCCAGATGACACATTTTTAATAAATAAACACCCAAAAGAAACATTTCAGAAAATTAGAAAATGTATAAATTTATTTGAAGAAATAACTGGTTTAAAAGTGAATTGGGAGAAATCCAAATGTATTTTATTAAATCATTCAGAAGCAGACAAGAAGGAACTGAAAAAGGAATTTAAGAAAGTATAGAAAGTGTAATTAAATATTTAGGAATTTGTATTACATGTAATTTAAAATATAGTGGGGTCTCTACTTAAGAACGTCCCTACTTAAGAACAATCCAACTTAAGAACAGCTCCATTTGCTAAATTTTGCTTCTACTTGAGAACAAAAATCCAAGATAAGAACAGGAAAAAAAAACTTTCCTGCTCTTTTTTTAACCTTAGGTCATCTTAGGTTAAAAAAAATTCTCCCCCTAGGTATTAACCAGCTTTGCATTAGTTCCTATGGGAACTAATGCTTCAATGTACAAACGCACCTCTACATAACAAAAAAACAGCCAGAATGGATTAATTGGTTTTCACTCCATTCCTATGGGAAATTTTGCTTCAACTTAAGAACGTTTCAACTTAAGAACACCATTCCAAAACGGATTAAGTTCTTAAGTAGAGGTTCCACTGTATGTAATTAAACTAGATATGGACAAATTGAAGAAAGAAATTAATGAACAGGTAAATCAGTATCAAAAATTAAAATTGTCTTGGTTTGGTAGAATAGCATTTATGTAAAATGAAGATTATCTCTAAACTGAACTTTGTATTTTGGATGCTCTCAATAAAGATCGGAGAAATATACTGTATTTTTCTGTGTATAAAATGACACTTTCCCCTAAAGTAACTGAAGGAAAAATTGAGGTTCATTTTATAGAAGTAAGGAGGGGTGGAGGGATCAAAGTGCTTTGACCCCTGTTTCCCCCTCTTTTGCAAAAAATAATAATAATAATAATGGAGGGGGAAAGCGATTTCCACTTTCTCCCTACATTTTTGTTGCAAAAAGCAGCTCCCTCCCTCCATGTTTTGCAAAGAAAATGCAAGGGGAGAATGGTTTCTGCTTTCCCCCTACGTTTTTGTTTCAAAAAGCAGCTTTCTGCCTCCAGGTTTTGCAAAGAAAATGCAGGGGGGAAGCGATTCCTACTTCCTCCCTGCATTTTCCTTGCAAAACCTGGAGGGGGGAGCTGTTTTTTGCAATGAAAATGTGGTGGATGTGTGAAAAAAGAAAGAAAGAAGGGGCACTGGTTTTTAAAGAAATTAAACTAATTATAGGATGCGATATTCAGGGATCACCAATTATTGCCCTCTTGAACATAATTAAGAATGATCATTTGAAAAAATATCAGAAAGAGTTAGTTGTTATGTTGGTTACATTAGCAAGATTAATATTTGCAAAGAATAGGAAAAGCAATAAACAAGTTAATCTTGAAAATTGGTATAAAGAAATGTGGAGTTTAGCAATCAAGGATAAGCTAACATTGGAAATGAAAACAAAAAGAGGAATGGTAAAGTCTAATGATTTCAAAGAGGTATGGAATTTATACTTGGAATATGTCTTTTCAAAGGGGGAAGGGCTACATGGCAGCAAAACAATCAATGTATTTTTGGAGAGGAATGGGTTGAAGAGTGTTATAAATTGATATTACTGGTCACCTAGTCCCAAGAGTGAAAGTGGCACAGGTGGGAAATGTTTAATGTGTATTGTGTGCAGTCACCATTGAGTTTGTATTTTAATTTAATATTGTTATTTGTTACTTTCCTTTATGTTAAAAATAAAATAAAAAAAAGACATCTGTTTCACATACATGCTTCCCTTGGATTTGTGTTTTTATTTTTGGTGGGCCACAAAAAGAACCTTGGAGGTCTGCACATAGCCCAAAGGCCAATCTTTCCCCACTCCAGCACTAGAAGCATCCTATATTCAACAACAAAATTTCTGCAGTCATGGTGTAATATTTTAATTGTTATGGGATATGTCGAACTTTACGAGAGAAGACATTCCTGTGTCACAGTTCTATTTGTTTGTGAAAATGACATGTTAGCTTTCATCAGGATTATTATGTATGTAATTGATGGATAACCAGTGTGGTGTATGAATAGAGTGACGGACTGGGACTCAGGAGGTCTGGGTTCAAATCCCCGCTCAGCTAAAGAAGCTCCCTGGGGATGTGGAATTGGTAAAACCACTGGTTCTTAACCTTGGGTTACTCAGGAGTTTTGGACTGCAACTCCCAGAAGCCTTCACCACCAGCTGTCCTGACTGGGGTTTCTGGGAGTTGCAGTTCAAAAGCATCTGAGTAACAAAGGTTAAGAACCACTGGGTAAAACCACTCTTTAAATGTATCATATACTCTGAAAGCCTTATTAGCATCACTATAAGTCAGCTCGTACTTGACAGAACATAACAATATTACCGAAAAGTAAATCACAGTGCGTTTAGCAAGTGCATGAAGGGTTAAAGCCATAATTTTCTTCTTTGAATGCTAAAATCGATTGATTATTCCTCCCTCACCAGGAAAATGAAGAATTCCAATGTTCAGGAAAAATGAATAATTATGAAATAAGGTACTCCACAGAAAACAACACCTATTTTGAACATACAAAGGGCAACACTTTCACTCTCCACCTGACAGAGGAAGCCTATGTGATCAGTGTTGCTGCTTTCAATGTAACTGGAGAGTCTCCTGTGGCTACTGTGAAAATCCCCTCAGTATCTGAAGAACACACGGGTGAGTCTGTGCAGTCGCTCTGTGTGGTTTTCATTCCTTTCTTTGTTTTTCATGTTACAAAGAAGTTGACAAAAATGTAATTTACGTTAAGAATCTGCAAAAGTATGGGAAGGACAATAATGCTCATTACAGTTTCACACAACCATTGGGGGCAATGCCTCCCTGGTCTAGGGCAGGAAGAAGGTTGTTCTGCAGTGTAGGTCCTAGAGAGTCTGTGACCTCTGAGGTGGAATGGCTGTCTTCTTGCTCAGTTCTTGTCTAAAGACTACAGCTTTTGTAGTTTCAGAGAACATTGTCACACTTGGTATCTCTTCTTTCTTGGTAGTGATTTAGTCAAGTTTCTTTTCTTTTTAGTATGCTTTTGTTCTTCCTTCTTCTTGGAATTACTTGTGTTTTCTTTGTCCTTGGGTCTTCTGTCTCTGAATTCTAAGTATGGGAGGATGTCTCTTTATTACCATGTTTTAAAAACGGTTTCCTGAACAGTGACAAACTACTGCTGTCACCCGTCTCTGTCTGGCATGAGACCCTAGCAAGAGGAACATGGTAGAGACTCATGTCAACACTGCCTGAAATTCACTGAGTGGTCCTGGTGCAATCCGTCCCTATTGCTTCAAGATGTATTACAGGAAACGGTGTCTGATGCAAGGGCTTGCTTCACAACCAAAGCACTGTTATTGCTTGGGCTGCCAAAGACTTGGGATTTGTTTCTTTGATTGGGGTATGGTCTTCTGACCCATAGGTTTGTTCGGCTTCTGTGGTTCTTTAATCAAAATTCCAAAGCATTCTAAACATCATAGGGTTTTGGCCAATCAGTTCAGTTCCCCTCCAGAAAAAGGAAAGGAGAAATGCTGCCATTACTTTGCAGTGTCATCTACATTGTCGGTTGCTGAGAGCTGGAATAGAGCCTCCTTCTTTTACTCCTCATTTGCTCCTCACATTCTGGTTGAAAGCCTCTGATTTCTCTTTATACGGTCCAAACACACCTCCTTATTTGAATTATTGCACTTGCAATAACCTGTAGCAAGGTTTTGGTAGTGGGTGGGTATTTTTTAAAGGCATTATTAGCAGAAAAATTCAGATGTTATGCCATTGTTTTGATCAGTCCTAAGATCACCTCTTCCAAAACAGGGTTATGAGCAATGTAACAAATAATGAAACAAGTTAAGTAAAAAGTTCCTGCAGTGCTAATGACAATGAATTCATTTTTCCTGGGCTTTGCAACAAGATACATAACCAGTTACTTTTTTGAAAAAGTGATTTTGCAGACTTAAAAAAAAATGTTTTTCCCTGCAGCAGGAAAATGAACTCTTGCCTATCTTTCAAAAAAGTTTTAGTAGTTTTTGAAGTTACTTTGTGTAGATGCAGAATTTTATCAGCGTGACTGCACACAGGATCACTAGAAAAACTTTCCATTTATTACTCCTTATCAGTAAGTTACTTTAGTCTGTGCACAGCAAATTGTTTATCTGATTGATAGTAACATCAAAATATTGCAAGAAAGAGTTATAGCTTACAAACTTAGGCACAAGAGAAATATCGTAGGGTGTTTTGTCCATTCCCAGGTCCATTTGAGCCACATTGTGTGGTGGCAGGACTTGGCTCATAACAGGTTTTAGCAACAAGATTTGGAACCAGGTATCTATATGCACACAGATGTTTCCTCTACTACTAAATAAGCACAGATGGCTGCATGCATAGAAGATCAGGAAATGTTGGCCCCAGCATCTGTCACCAATCTGAGCCCCTGTTTGCAAGGGCAATGTTGTGCAGTTTCGATAGTTTGTTATTTATTTCTGAAGTCTCTATGATAAAATACAGACCAACCAGCTTGATGCCCTCTTGATATGTTATATTACAATCCCAGTCTACATACTACAGTTTTGAAGAGACCCTTGTCCAGCAGGCCAAGGCAAAGAGGCAGTCCTGAAACCAGCAAAATTAGGGATCTGGACAGGGGACAGACTGTATTCGTCTTCAGTGTGGAAGGGATTGTGACTCTCGAATTGACCTTCTCAGCCACACTAGACGCTATTCCACACAAGACCTCTGTCAGAGCATGTCACCATAGTCTCTTGAGACTGAAGGATACCTACAATGAATCCCAGTCATTCATAGATATCATGGCCAGTGCATCTGTAAGACGCCAGGCTGCTAAAGACTGATCAAGATACAGTGGGGTCTTGACTTAAGAATGGCTTGAGTTAAGAACAATTTGACTTAGGAACCACTCTCATAGGAAAATATTGACTTGACTTACATACTTAGATTTGAGTTAAGAACTGAAAAAAAAGCACGTGGGAGGCAGGGAAAGTGCAAAATTTGAACTTTCAGTTAACTGTTGGCCAGTGAAAAGGGTGCCTGTCTGCTTCCTCACTCCTCCCAGCGTTTAGAGAGTGGATTGGGAGGCTTCAGACTGCCTGGACTGTATTTTCCCTGCCTTCCCTGAACCTTTCTTGACCTAAGAAAAAAAGAAACAAAATATCCCCCTCTGGTGGGCGCAGGCGGAATAGCAGCTTCCCATTAGTTTCTATGGACGGAAAAGAGCAGATACAGATCAAATGGTTTTCAATGCATTCCTATGGGAAATGCAGATTTGACCTGAGAACTTTTTGACTTGAGAACCGCCTTCCAATGCGGATTAAGTTCTCAAGTCAAGACCCCACTGTACTGTAATATGGTTTGTCCAGCTGGGTGTTCTTGTCTCTGAAAGTACTTGTTTCATCACTGATTGTTTCAGTATATTTTCCACTGTCTATACCAGTGCTTCTCATCCTTTTTGAAGTTCCAGACCCCCCTTTATAATAGTCATGTACCTTGTCACCACCCCACCCCACCACTTTTGCATAAAAATGCATTTTAAGGGGGTAAAATCATCCCTTCTTAGAAAGAAAACATTTCTTTCTCCCACCAAAGGGCTTGTTTATTAAGTTTAATATCTCACTCTGAAAGCTCAAGGAAGAAATTATTTAACAATGGCTACAACACGTAAAAGGCAACCCCTGAGCCCTCCAAAAACACTTTATGAACCCTAGGTTGGAAAACATGGTCTATACAATGCAATAGTTGTCTTGGTAACAGAAGAGGTAAGTTCATGCCTTCCCAAGACTTTCTGTCTCTACTAAATGCATTTTTATCTCTCCTAAAGGCTTTTCAGGGGGAGGGCATTATTCTGCATTTTCTTGTGATGGACAGAAACTACTGCTTTGGTTGTAACCTTCTCATTAGCACTCCATTACATGAAAAGAAAATGCTCCAGGAAAAAAGCTATAGCAGGAATGTTGGTTTCAAGTGGGTGTGAAATATCTCCCCAAGAGAAGTGTTTTTAGAATTTTTTAAGTTAAAGGCTAGACTCAGGCTCTAGTAAGCCCTCCTGTCACTTGGGTCAAAGCATCACCAACTTTGGCCAAATGGTGCAGAACTTTTGCCTGTGTGGTTACACCATCATTTCCCCATGTTTTCCATAAGTAGACAAGTCTAAAATGTTTCTTAGTTTGTTTTAACTATTAATGCACAACTTTCTGCTTTCTTCTGCCATTTTGTGATAAATCAGAATTTATAGACTGTCTCAATTAGGCACATTAATTTGCAATTAAATTGCTGGTGTTCGTTTAATTAAAGATTCATGTTAATACAGACATTTTTTTTCCTTAGATCATCAAAGGATTGTAACTTTGAATGCATCTGCTTTAAATGAACAAATAATTTTGGAATGGGAGCCATCCGATTTAGATATAAATGGTTACGTTATAGAATGGTATAATGACCTGGAGCCAAACTCCTACAAACGCTCATGGCAAAAGATAACAAATGTTACAAAATGGACATTTCCCAAAGGCAAGTGTTTAAAAAATTGTATCTGGTAAGACTGGTGGAGTTTATAGTTTTTGTATTTTAAACTTAATGTATCTATCTCTTTTGTATTCTCTTCCCTATAATACTTTGATGTTTCATCACGATTTTTTCCTTCATTGTCGGGAGTGCATTTCTGTATATCTGCACTCAGTGCTTTAGGAAGTACCTGAATTCAGTGCTTTAGCATGTAATTCCATTCTTCATTGTTGTAATCTTCTGAAGTAATTTGCACTGGGATGATGCATCCGGGTCTTCTCTGAGATTATTGGCTTTTTAAATTGTTTATCATGACTTTATTCTGTTGTAAATTCTGACTCTTTTAGGGACTCCTGTTTGTCTGACTTCAAAGCAACTGACTGAATAAGGCCACTATTTTAGCAACTATCAGCCTGCTTGTGCACGTCACAGGGATTCTCCACATTCTACACTCTTCATTCCCTGTGCCACCAACATTTCTATCCAAATGGGAGCCCTTTCCAGGCCAGTCTGTCTCATACACAATTACATGCGTGTATTTCAGTGTTCAGGAGATGGACTGGACTCTTCCTCAAATTACTTAGGCAGAACTGTGCAGTTGAGTACTGTACACCCCAGTCACTGTCAGGGGCTACTCTTTTTTAGGTGCAGGTAGCATCACTCCACTCTGATTTGTTTCCAGCATGTGCTGTTGCTGGGATTGAATCAGAGCTCAATCTGGAGGGCTGTCTCTTTGGAGAAAATGCTTAATCGGAAACTTCCTCTGGGCTCTGCTTTGGAGGCCAGAGGAGAGGCGATGTTTCGGATTTCTACAAGTGAAAAATGTCTATAGCATTGATAGGTGCATGGATACTGCATGGCTTTTAAATTCTTCCCACATTCAGTTTGGCCTCTACAGTGATTTTTATTTATACTTGTGTTCAAGATGGGTGAGGAAAAATGTCACCAAGAAAGAGACTTGATGATGATGTCATGTGAGTGCAAAATATAGAGCATGCAGTAGAGATTTGGTTGCTAATTTTGAAAGAATGGTGATATTCCATGTCTCTGTTTTCTTTCAGGTGCCTTCATACCTTTCAAACGTTATAAGATTTCTGTGTATCCCTTGCTTAATGGTGAAATAAAAGTTCCAAGTTCCACAAGAACCTACTTTCGTGAAGGAAGTATGTATATAAACAGCTGTTTCTATACTGAAGTCTAAGAGCTTCAATCATACCTGAATAATTTCTAAGACAACTTAAGAGAAATTGAGAATTCCCGAGTCTATTTTCAATTTATCCTGTAGAAACATTACACAAATGTTCACTTTCTCCAATAAATCACAATGGTTTCAGTTCTATAAAGCTCCCTTCCAGCAACACCGTAATTTAATAATTCATGCAGCCTTATAAGTGAAAATTACAAAATAACCTCTCAGTTTCCCTGCTTTTAAAAATGCTAATGCATTATTAGGTAACCAGAACCTTTACAATGTGGAAAGTATTGCCCAGAAATTGGTCGGTCGGCCGGTTGATTGATTGATTGATAAGAGAATGATAATGAGAAATACCTAAGAGGTTTTTTTTTTTAAAAAAAAAAATTGGCTTTAATTTTTTTATGTGATTTAGTCCCATTAGAGGGTCCTTCAGTTGAACCAGCAGAAAATATTGATAAAAACAGAGCTACTATAAAATGGAAGGAAATTCCAGAAGCAAAACGAAATGGTATTATTATTAGCTACACCGTATTTTATAAATCGGAAGATGGAAAAGAACTGGGTATGTATGTATATGAACAAGTGAAAACTGGAAAATTGTCTTGATATCACTTATTAAAAATAGCCATGTGAGCAAACTGTAGAAACCACGTTTTGGTTTGGGTAATATTTCTTGGAACACTAAAATGTTACGAATAAAGTGAGCCTCTGAGTTCTCCAGAACTCTTCATCATATGGAGAGGGTGTAAACTTTGGGGTTAGGCTAAATAGTTAAAAATATGGCCAGATGTGATATCTAGAGGTGGGAGTATTTGTAGTCATATACGAATATCCCCCCACAGATGCAGATAATCATGCATAATACCCAGCTCACAATGGATTAGCCACTCCTGACAGGAGGTGGGGTGATAAGCCTTTCTGCCAGGTTGAAGAGTAGCTAATCCATCGCAAGCTTTGGAGCAATAAGAAGGGAGTGCGGAGGCCATGGCAGCAGCGGAATTGTGAGTGGTCGGTCTGGCCCCAGGGGGCCGGACCCTTGTTATCTGCACCTGTGGAGGGATAGTTGTATATTTGAATACAAATATCTGTGGCTCTTGAAACCAGACCAAGATCAGATGGAGGTTTTTAGATTCTACCTGGAACTGAGATATCAGACATATCATTTTACAGTCTATGTGCTCTTTGCAGACAAAGCCTGCTTGAATCCCTGAAGTTCTCTTCATTGCCCTAAGGCAAGGCCTCTTTGTAGACTTAGAGCAGAAAAGAAGGGGGATGAAAACAATGGCCTTCAAAACAGGAGATCAATTTTAGGTATCACATTAGATTGGAAAAATCAGTGACAGTCAAATTGGTAGTCATACCTAGTGATTTCATGAGCTGGCATCCTCTTTGAACAGCAGTCTTGTGGAAAAGGCTCTTCCCATTGTCTGATTGTAGTATTTCGAACAGCAAATAGAAGAGAATATCTGTGTGCTCTGTCTCTCAAAGTAAAGTTCTGGTTTAGATAGAATTTTGCTGGTTCACTAAAACGTGGCAAATAAGAGAAGCATTTCTGTTCTTAAGAACTCTTCATTAGGGTGAGATGATATAAAATTTTGACTTCAAGGGAAATCATTTAGAGTGACACCAGAGGTTGCTGATGTTTTTCACTGGAACCTTTGCAGGCGTAGATTGCTCCCTTACAGGAAAAGTCAATGTCAAAACTTGGAAACTCATTGTTTTAATCAAAACAAATTATCTTAGTACAGATGCCAAGGAAGAGGTACCTACTGTATATTGTTGTGGGTGTAGTGTGGTGTGTGGAGACAGATTCTACTCTTCCTTCTCTATCTCTGATTCTTCCATTCTTAAAATGCAGGAGTTCTAGAAGAGATAGCCATGTTCGTCTGTGCTAACGTGTCTAGCAAAAAGAAAAGAACAATGAAAAACAAAGAGAAATACATTGCGACATTTTAAAGACGAACTGCTGTATTTTAACATGAGCTTCTGTGGAAAAGTTCACTTCCTCAGCTTACATGAAAACATCGCTTTAGTTTTTAAGGTGCCACAGTGTTTTTGCCTTCTTTATTTTGTCTTCAATTTTAATTTGTTTTTGCCTGTTATAATGTAGTAGAATCCATTTGCCAAGGCTGCCAGGAAGAGCCTTGGCTAACCACACAACTCTTTTCTTGCTTTTAAGATTTAACTCTTCCGTGAGGGCTTTCCTGTTTCCTTCAATTCATATTTTTCCAAGCCCCATGCCAAAGTTACTGCTTTTTAGTTTTACTTTTGAGAATGTTCAGGCATATGTTTTTTTTCTGGCTTGTTGTGACACAGCATGAAAACCTGTCCAGAAGAGTGTTTAGTTCCAAACATGTTGGCATTAGGATACTGTCAATCTGTCTTTAGCGGGACGTGGTGGCGCTGTGGGCTAAACCGCAGAAGCCTGTGCTGCAGGGTCAGAAGACCAAGCAGTCGTAAGATCGAATCCGTGCGACGGAGTGAGCGCCCATCGCTTGTCCCAGCTCCCGCCAACCTAGCGGTTCGAAAGCATGCAAATGCAAGTAGATAAATAGGGACCACCTCGGTGGGAACGTAACAGCGTTCCGTGTCTAAGTCGCACTAGCCATGTGACCACGGAAGATTGTCTTTGGACACACGCTGGCTCTATGGCTTGGAAACGGGATGAGCACCGCCCCCTAGAGTCGAACACGACTGGACAAAAAGTGTCAAGGGGACCCTTTACCTTTAGCTTTAATCTGTCTTTAGCTTTTGAGTTAATGTGGCCCACCAGTCAGATATTGGCTGAAATCCTGTTGCTCAGAGTATGAACATTCATAATTTTGAGTCCATTCCTAGCTGGCAAATAAAGAGCTACCACCATGATTCTCAGGGCTGCACGGACACAGTGGCTTGCTGCGCACACGTGTGACCCCAAGAATCACAGCAGGGACTTTCTATTTGCTGGGTTACGAAAGGAATGAAAGTTACTAACTTTCTTAAGCTAAGCAACAGGATTTCAGCCATTATTGCTTTGCGTTAGTAGGCTGCTGTAAACATGAAATTATGCTTGACTATGAATTTAATAGGTTTTACATATTAGGCCTTTATGGTTTCCTTAAAGAAGCAAACTGAAGAATTTATGTGGGAGAAAGGGTGTGTTTGGGATCGTGGCCCAAAAGAACACTCCTGGGCATTAGCCTTAACCCGTTCTTAGTGGATTTGTATTCCTGGGTTTGATGCCCACCCATAGTAGTATTGCCCACTGTAGCTTGTTAAGTGCTCATTCCCATATTGTCCCATATAAATATTTTTCTTTTTCTTTGCAGCTGTTGTGATAGAATGCAAGGACTGGCCTTGTCTATGTCTATACATATGTGCAAATAATAAGACATACAAAAGTTACTTATGAATTGATCTCACTTATAGTGACATAGCATTGCTGTAAACAGATTCCATTCCCATTCTCAGTAATTGGAAGAAGAGCCAGCACTGCCTTATTTTCTAACCTGTGACCCTGCAACAAATAGCTATGGAAGCTAGCAGTAGGACCAACTGCTGGACAAAAGGACAGGCTGCCTGCAAAATACTGGTTCCTGATGCTTTGTAATGTTGCCATGAAGTGGCTAAGAGTGGAATAGCAGCATGATAGTCAGGAGTATTTTAAATTAAATGGCCATTGTTCATAGCAGACACAATCTGCACTATGGTTTTATGCTTTTACCAATAGTAATAATTACACAGTGTTTATTTTTTAAAATCCCCTAATTATAGGACTAAAGAAAGATGTGAAATGATATTGCTACAGACAATCCATTTTTTATTTGTTCAGTCTTGCTGCTAGGAGCAAGACTGAACAAAGGAGGCTTTGGGTTTTAGTCAGTCAAGGTTTTAGTCAGATTTTGGTTTCTGGTTTCAGTTTTTATTTGTCTTGTCAAGGGATGTTGGGTTTGTGGTGTTGGGTTTGATGAGCTAATTTTTTTTCTTTTAATTGTTAACTAGCCAGAGTAGTATTTTACTTCTTCACCTGCAAATTAGATTTTGAGTGGGGGGATTGGCTGGGGAGTGTTCATGCTGACTGTGCAAACTCAAGAGCTCTGAAGAATGAGTACTGTATATACAGAATCCTGTTTTATCATTAGCTGTGAAGCTGCCATCTGACCTACTGCTGCCCTCAGTCCCAGAAATTACTGATAGTTCTTCTTAACGCTGTTCTGGAGCTCTGGAAAAGTATGTTCTAGGGCAGTGGTTCCCAGCCTGGAATACATGTAACCCCAAGGGCTATGAACCAGGACATTTAGGGGTACATGAAAAAAATTGAATAATGACAGGATAAGGCACATATGCCAACAATGCAAGAGAAGATACAAGTCAAAAGTTGTGAAATTAATTTAATGTTATAGCAAGTGGCAGAGTGGCTCCACCCCCTCCATTTGACCTGTATTTGACTACAGTGCACATGATCGGTGGTGTGCCCCACACAAGATGAGCTTTCATCCTTCTCCCTTTCACGAACATTTGAGTGCTGTTGCTCCAGGACCAAAGCAGGTACCTCAGTCAGTCTTGTGAGTTCTACCAACCACAACATTTTGCCAGTATGAAGGGTAGTTTATGAAAATGGACTGCCAAGGGGTATGCAAGTGAAAAAAAAAGTTGGAAATCACTGTTCTAGGTTTTTGGTTTTCAATGTTTGGCTCTCCAAATATTTTGGACTTCAAGCTCACAGAGGCCTTGATTGCTGTCCAGAGCGGCTGGAATTTCTGGGAATTAAAATCTGATATTCTTGGAGAACCAGAAGTTGAGAACTTGCCTTCTAGGTGTAGGGGCACACTGCAAAAGTATATTGTAGGCCCCAATTTAATATTTTTTTACTTTGTCATGTGTATTACTTCTGTCCTCTTGTTGTGGAGAAAAAGCATCTCAGATACCCTTAGAGCCTATATGATTTTTCCTTCCTTTTGTATGGACATTAAGGAAGTAATTGCAAAATTTCGGTGGACTAGATTACTACTTAACAGGAAACTTGTGTCTTCTTAGGAGAAACTGTTAATGCCAATGTTCTGCATTACCAGTTGAAGTCCTTACAAGCAAACACCAAGTATGAAGTTCATGTGATGGCGAGCACTGTTGCTGGTGGAAAAAATGGAAGTGTAGTCGTTTTTGTCACCACTAAACTGGGTGTGTTACTCGATGCAAATAACTTTTCCTTGAACAGATTCCATTTTCATGTATTTATTTTATTTTATTTTATTTATGAATGGTATATCTTGGTATTTGGGTAGAAGGTCTGCAATAATAGGTTAGAGGTTAATAGCAAGACTTGTCATGGCCAGTCTAAAAAGACTAAACAGAAAAGCAAGAAGAAATAAGGAGGGAAAAGAAAAACAGAAAAATACGGGCTCTGATTCTTAATACTCTATAGTAATACCCCATTTAGTGCAGAAGCTACATTCCAAGAAAATGGAATGTTAACTGAATTGGTGCTAAACAAGGTCATTTTAATAAAGCAGCACAGAGCAGGTAGACTAGTTTCCAAGTCTCCCAGATGCCCAGTTTACTTCTATTTAAGTAGACCAGATTCCTGTTGAGCACAACAAAATGGCCATATGAAACATGTGCACTTTACTGGCAACGCTATGTGAGATATTACTGTACTCCCCATTTTTTGTAACTGTAATGCTATAATGTCTGCAGCTCAGCTGTAAGCTGATGGCCAGTTCATCACTGAAGCAGTTCAAAGTGAGGAACGGCTAAAATGGCAAGTCACTCATTTGAGCTGAGTAGCCCTACTCCTTATTTTTCTGCTGCACTTGGATGGAATGACTGCTGGCTGGGGGGGGGGTGGAGTGGGGAACTGAAGGCTGAAATACACATTATGGATAACCTGTTATTAGTAAAAAGACTTCCTAATGTGCCAAAAGATACACATTTTTTATGCAAGAGTTTTCTTCGCTTTATATAACTTGCAATTAGCTTGTTTTGTTTCATGAAGAGCTAAACTGTGCTTTGATTTCTCAGGAAAAAAATATTTCAACTTTTGGTAATGTGTAATTTGGCCTCAAACCTGATGGGAGCTGGCTGCTCAGCTGAGCCACTGAAGCGAGTTTTCTCTACTCCTGTCCAGCCTGCTGTACAGTTGTTGGGGGAAGAGACGTTTTTGACTGCCAACTTAAATATAACTCTGTATGAGCAGGTCTAGTTGATTTTGTTGAGATTTATCCATGAAATATGTGTAATTTATGATTTTAAATGTTTGAATGTCCTTTTGAAGTGGTGCTTTCATTCCTCTCCCCTCTTTGTTAGGTGCGGTAGATATTATTCTTATATCCATCCTTCTTGGATTGTTCATGTTATGCCTCTTAATAGTTGGGATATTGGGGGCGGTGAAAAGGCACAAGTAAGTAAACATTTCTAAAATGAATATTTGTTTTTAGAAATGAAACAAGGCACTGTGTTTACAGTGGACCCTCTACTTACGGAATTAATCTATATTGGAACAGTGGCTGCAGGTCAAAAAGTCTGTAGGTCAAGTCTCCATTGATCTACAATGCATTGAAAACTGATTAATCCGTAACCGGCCGTTTTTGTTCCGTTTTGTTCCACTTTGGGTTTTTTTTGGTCCATAGGTCGATTCTCCGGCTGCAAGTCGAACCTAAATTTTGCAACCAGAGAAGTCTGTAACTCGAAAAGTCTGTAAGTCAAGCCGTCTGTAAATTGAGGGTCCACTGTATCTGGAAACATACTTTTAAACATACCTTCTCTGTTAATACATTGAACCTATATTCACACTTACTTGAGAGAAATCCCATTGAACTTGGTGGGACTTAATTCTGAATATGCAAGTACAGCACAGAATTGTGTTGTACTTTTAAAAAAACTATTGTTTAACCTTTTTAAAAAACTATTGTTTGGTGAAAAATACTGTAGTTGAATGAAAAGGCAGAGTCTGTTATTAAGAATTCTTATGTTCAGTTTATCACAAGATGTGCAAATAAAAAGTGCTTTGAAGACTGGAGAGGGGCTCATTTTAACATTATAAATATGTTTTTTTTCCTTGGATGTCTTCAAATGTCTTTTTTAAAGACATGGGTAAATTCTTTTGTTTTGGCAGGTTAAAACGTATTTTATGGCCTCCAATACCACATCCTTCCATTACAACAACGACAACTCAGAAGGTGAGAACTGATAAAATAAACCTGTATGAAAATGACTGACATTCTGTTGCACAAGAGCAGGCCCTTTGAATCAGTGGGAATTTGGTGAGTTAACTCCTGTGTAAGTACTATTGATTCAAACGGAGCTACTCTAACTACAACTTACCACACCAAACAATAAACAATTGTCAATGGATGGTGTGAAGGCAATCTTCATCAATCCTTGCCCCACATCCTTGGCTGATGACTTTACATGGCCTGGCATGAAGTGATCCATGCCCTTCTCTACAAGGGACTAGCATATACAAATTGCAAGTGAGTTTTGTATCCATTATTTCAACAGATGAGATGTCATCAGGGAATTTTACACTTTCATAATGCTACAAAATTTAAAGTTTAGTCAACAAATGAAAGATTTATTTTAATCAATGAAAACTTCCTTTCCCAACAGCTGCCAGTTTGGAAAAATTCACCCATGGAAGAAACACACAACATTAGTTTAGAAGCATATCCTTGTAGTGAGAAGTGTGATAAATTACAGTTGCCGAATCATGAAAACTCCATCACACAGAAAATTATCCCTGATAACGTGTGTGGTAGAGAATATGAAGTCATAATTGGTCTTCCAACAATATCCTCTGTAGAACGTGATTCTAAGAGTCCAGATCTCCGAGCACTGAATGAGAGTTCCAATGATTACGAAAACATTGAAGACCAGTCACATTTGAATAAGGCGTTTAACCCATACTTTAAAAACTCAGTTTCAAAAAGGGAGTTCCTAATGTGTGAGAACTCAGCTGAAAATACACACGGGCCTAAACTACAATCTGTTCCTTTAACCTTTTGCTTGCCAAACAGCACTGCATGTCCTTATGTGCCCCTAGACAAATTTGCACAATTCAGAGAACATACTGAACTACAGGATACCTAAAATGATTGAGGGAGATGTCTTTCCAAGAAGCATGCTATTTCAGCTGGCCACTACTCTGAGCTGAAGAAAATCGTGGTATTGCTTTTTTTCTCCAAGTGTTAACTATCATCATCTAAGAACTGCTTGTCCCTTCAACTGTTGTCAAGCATCCAAGGTCTTTTCTGTTGCTGTTTTCTGTTTTTAGCAAAAATGAAATGACATAACAACATCGGGCCATGTTCCCTTTGTAAATACAGCCTTTCCTAATGTGAAGGAGTGACAAACAGAATATGAAAAAAAAAACAATTGAAAAAACTTAAATGCACAACAAAGCGGCGTTTTCAGAAGCGGGGGCCATGCTGAGTTTTTCCATTCCTGCCCTGTGACCCCAAATCACCCCAAAGCTGTCAAAACAATTCAAGTACACACTACCATGCAAATATTACAGCATCTTATCAAGATAAGAAAAAACAGCAGTCCAGTTTTGTATCAGTGGCCAATCTAGTTAATATGAAGCCAGAGGGAAAATCAGATCATATGATGAGTAACTAAGAAATTGAACAGAAATTCTTTTAAAGAATATGGCAACTGAAATTATATTTCAAAGTAAAATGAAGAAAATACTTTGAAATTAGCATGAAGCATCATAGTGGAAAATGACTTGTTTTATTTAAAGCATTCTATACTGCTGTTCATCACAAGATTGCAGACAGTGCATCATACACATGAGGTAAAAATGCTTTGGGTAAAAGCTGTGTACACTTATAATATTATGTTGAGAGGGAGTACCCTCAAACCCTTAAGACATAAACATTGTACCTAAAAGACTAACTGCAATATTTTAATGCAAGCTTTTGTGAATCGTGTCCACTTCCTCAGACATTAGAGTGAGACTGTATGAATGTATTATTTATAGATGGCCCCGTGACCAGATGGGGATATAGATAATGGGCAAAGTGACAATGGTTTGTCAGTAAAGGAATAGGGCTACCAGGCTCTGTCTAATTGCAATTATCAGCTGGTGTTTTTTGAAGGGAGTGGGGTGAGGATGCTTCCAGAGATCAGCCCAGGTATTAAAGATGGAACTTAAGACATTTGGGAGGGCACCAAAGGCCCCTCTACAATTCCTTGTCAGCACAGGAGTCCACACCTAAAGTTTCTTTGAAAAGGGGCCACTCCATGCATTTAAAAACATCAAACACAGGAGAGTCCATGACCTTCTGAGGTATTCCTTTCCATTGTCAAACAGCTCTTACTTGTCAGGAAGCTTTTCCTCATGTTTAGACATGTGAGCAGATGAGCTTGGGTGCTCAGGAAGGGTCTACATCCTTGACCCAGTGGCCCTCCATGACTCCCTTCCAGAACTATCTGGTGAGCATAGGATGCATTCCTTCTCCCAAGGCATTACCCGGCATTAAATACTTCAGTGGAGCTGCAAGGTACAGTGGTGCTTCGCTTGACGATGTTAATTCATTCTAGCGAAATTGCTGTAGAGTGAAAACATCGTCAAACGAAATGAAAAAATCCCATTGAAACGCATTGAAAACCCGTTCAATGCGTTCCAATGGGTTGAAAAACTCACTGTCCAGTGAAGATCCTCCATACAGCGGCCATTTTCGGTGCCTGTAAAGCAAGGAATCCATCCTAGAAAACAGCGGGGGGCCGTTTTGAAAGCCGGTGGCCATTTTGAAACCCGATGATCAGCTGTTTGCTGATCGTCGTAAAGCGAAAAATCAGTTTCTGAAGCAGGGAACCAATCATTGCTAAGTGAAATTCTCCCATTTAAACCATCGTTTTGCAATCGCAAAAATGTCAACGTAATGCGGATTCGTCGTAGAGCGGTGTAATCGTCCAGCGGGACACGACTGTATGAACTTTTCTTAGCTGGCTACATCCACGACTATTTGAAAGGGCTTGCCTTGGAGGATCCGAAACCCAGAAAACTGATACTGAGTTGCAAGTTAGCCAGGAGATCAAGAGGCCTATCAAATGCAGGAATTAACCCCAACTCAACAATATTGTTTGCACCATGAGCAGCAATCCAAATGTTTGCACCAGTTGCCCAGAGACGACATAGCTAAAGCCATGATGGCAGTTTTAATAGTAGGGGTGAGAGGTGTGGTGAGGGTAACCCGCTTCCACTGCCTGAAAAAGAATACTTTGGATTGGAGCTAATTCTTCTATGAATGGCCTTGTGAGGAGAACTTTATTGTGGAGAAACAATGTAACTGTTCATATGATGGCACTTTTCAAATACTTGAAAGGTAATCATATGGAGGAGAAACAGGATCTGTTCTCACTCATTCCACAGTGCAGGACTGGTTACAGGAAGCCAAATTTCAGTTGAATATCAGGAAAAACTATTAGAGCAATACAATGGAATCAATGACCTCAGGAGGCAGGGAGCACTCCAGTGCTGGAGGCATTCAAGAGAAAATTGGACAACCATCTATCAGATCTGCTTTGATTTGACTTGGGTTGGACTCAGTGGTCTTATAGGCCTCTTCCAATTCCATGATTCTGTGAAATAGTTTGCAATAAATGTGTTGTTCTTGAATAGTGACTCTGGTGTGACACTGGATTTTGGCAATTGTGAAAATCCTACTTCCTTGTTCTCAATTATTATACAAGCATCTGTTCACTGAGGCTACAATCTATGGACCATGTATCAGTATTACACAACTTCAGATTGCTTTCCAGTCTAAGTATTTTTGATAGGAAGACTTGATCAGTTGGCTCAGATCTTTGCAGTGCCTAACTTCAGCAAACTTTCTAAGGATACAAGGATTACACATAACTCCTCTGCATGTCTTGAAGAACCAATCTGTGCCACCCAGTTCTGATGAGTTAACCTGTTGTTATAGCCTTCCTTACTCAATTCCTTTATTGAGGCAGACAAGTATTGTGACAATATAAACACATTTATTATGCTTGTGACATAACAAACTTATTAATATCTAAAGTGCCTCATGATTTGTTTTTGATGTAAAAGAATCCTTTAAAAATAGTTAGAACTAGATGTCCTAGTGAGTGGAAAAGAGAACGTTGGCAACGGCAAACATTTTCTGCCCTTCGGGCTTGAAACAGCAAATACAGAGAACTAGCTGTTTCTTTTAATTATGATTTTATAATTGCCTTTAGTTGGCCAGAAAAGTAACAGACAAGTATAATCTTTGGTGATCCAACAACTACAAATGATGCTATTTCTATCAAAAAGAAGAAAAGCAGTGTTACTCTTGTGGAAAATCCAGAAACAAGGGTGGGTAATGCCTTTAACAGACCACTTAGCTCACAGGCCGTTTGTAGTACTTTCCACAACGTTTAAATGATAATAAATTGAAATAAGAATGGATATATTTTCATTACAGAAAGCCAAGACCTCAAAGTTAACTGCATGCTAGCATTTAACTGGAGCTGAACTGACTTTTAACTGACTTACAACAACTAATCAAGATGACTGCCTGGGGATTAGTAAAAGCACACTTAAAAGCTTTATTTCTACAGCTTCACTATGTAATATATAGTGATATAGTTTTCATTGTTACTCTGGAGCTTTGCTTTGCTTTCACCATCTTGACTATCATGTTACATTCTAGTAATTCTGAATGTCTGTAAGGAACACCCCCAAACTAGTTATGTCCAGCATGGAATTATACTGATATTTTGTAGCGGAATAACTTTTCTCAGAGCTCAGTTACATGTGGGGAAAAAACTTGATTTTTGAATTCGGTTTAGCATGTTCTAGATTAATTTTTAAAATCTGACTAAACAACACACAGGGAAATGTGGGGTGTTTTTTTTTTGGCCTAGTTTTGTTTTGTTGCTGGAAAGTGAGGTGTTTTACTTGTTTATTTTAAATCTCTTGTGAAATCCATTTATTTTGAATTCTTTTGGCATATTTGCCTCTTGGTGTAAATTGTGCCTGTGACATTTGTCAAGTAATGGATGCCAGGATCATGGGTTCTGGGTTGCAAGAAAGTCTTGCGATCTTAACAATTTCTTTGGTCAGTTTCTCTTTGTCACACACTGGTGTGCCTTCCTTCACCTTCACTGTCTGTCTCTGCATGTGTGTTGGTCTTCAGGGAAATCTTGCAGTCCAATCTGTTTTACTTTTCTATCATACTCAGCTAGTGCTATGCCAGATTGCAAGAAAAATGTATTTAAAAATGTAAAATAACACTACAGCAGCAGCAGGGAGCAGCTGTGATAGTGTGAGGACGGGCAGGTGCAGGACAAAGCCTCGAATGCACAATTCTAAAAGCCTGTATAGTGTCCTTGACTTATATACAACAGTTTAAAAATTGATTTAAAGTTTTCCTAAGAGGACACACAGACACACCAACCCTAAAAAATATGACATTAAACCAATTTCAGAAACCCCAATCCATCCCCCAGTTCATTTTCATAGAGTAACTGCACCCTGAAGTTTCAACTTTTTGGAGGCTTATTATATACCTTGTTCTTTTGCTACTGTTCTATTTACCAAAGCAAAAAAGAACATAGGTCTTCAAACAGCTAGCTGGCCTGTCATTTTAGCTCACAGTCAAAGTACAGGAAGATGTATTTTAGAGTGGAGGGGTTGATGACATACACTTACAGGAAAATGTTGTCAAGTGCAGTATGTTGTCACCATGCCACAGAATCCCTACTCTGACATGAGCAACTATGGCAGTTTTGGCTTACATCAAATGCCATAGGGTATGGAATGAAAGGGATGTGGTGGTGCTGCGGGTTAAGCCGCAGAAGCCTCTGTGCTGCAAGGTCAGAAGACCAGTAGTCGTAAGATCGAATCCATGAGACGGAGTAAGCTCCTGTCGCTTGTCCCAGCTCCTGCCAACCTAGCAGTTCAAAAGCATGTAAAAATGCGAGTAGATAGATACCACCTTGGTGGGGAGGTAACGGTGTTCCGTGTCTAGTCGCGCTGGCCACGTAACCACTGAAACTGTCTTTGGACAAACGCTGGCTCTACAGCTTGGAAATGGGGATGAGCATTGCGCCCTAGTCAGACACGACTGGACTAAATGTCAAGGGGAACCTTTACCTATGGAATGAATCTCAACCTAGCCATCCAAGGCTATGCAGTATGTATGAGAGGTACCTTGGATTTATGTTGCATGATCTCACCAATGCTAAATGCAATGAGAAGCCATAATGTTATGTGTAAGTCCTCTATGAACTTAAGTTTCACTGATGAGTGTAGCCCTATTTAAGCATTATGACCAAAACTAGGTATTGTTGGAAGCACAATAATGATGCGGGGATCCAAGTAAATTCCATTCACACCCCAGAAATGAGACAAAATATTCTGCTCACAGAAAATGTTTGCAGTGGTGCTTGTGAACTTACTTTGCTAAATGATCAGGAGCTCTGATAAGGCTTCAGACCATAAAATGCTGAAGTTTACTGCAGTTAAAAGCCCTGCTGAAGGCCACCATTGTGAACCCAAACACGGGTCTCCCTGCCATGTGGGGTGAGAACACGGCTGGGGTGAAACATACCTAAATATCTAGTTTCAGAGTTTAATGTTTGAACATGGCTAAAATATGCATAACATCAGGGTGTATAGGACTATGAAACATTTGGGCCTTCAGCTGTTTTTGACTACAGATCCTATAACCTTCTGGTATGCAGGTTGGTAATGACAGGAATTGTGGAGCAGAAGCTCCTTACTCCTGGATTAAGTAGAATCATAGATTTATAAAACTACAAGGGAGCCAAAGATCACGTCTCATTCTCTGCTGATTTAGGAAACCCACAAACCAACCCTGACAAGTGCCCATCCATCATGTTTCAAAAACTGAAATGAACAAAAGTCTACCGCTTTTGAACAGTAATGACTTGCAAATACTTTCCCCTAAAGTTCAGTAGGAATCTTCTTTCTTGTAAAACAAATCCAGCAGTCTGGGTCCTACCCTTCAGAGCTGCAGCTAGCAAGCTTGCTCCATCTTCCATGTGATAATCCTTCAAGTATTTGAAGGAGACTATCCTATCTTCTTTGGTCATCTCATGAGAAGAGAAATCTTCCTGGAAAAGGCCCTGATGTTGGGAAAGAGGGAAGGCAAGAGGAGAAGGGGACGACAGAGGACGAGTTGGTTGGACAGTGTCATCGAAGCTACCAACATGAATTTGACCAAACTCCGGTAGGCAGTGGAACACAGGGGTGCCTGGCATGCTCTGGTCCATGGGATCATGAAGAGTCGGACACGACTTGACTGAACAACAACAATCCTATCTTCTCCAAGCTAAGTACAACCTTCAACAGTTCTTCATACAGCTTCATTTCCAGACCTTTAACCTCTGGACACAGGTACAACTAAGGCAAATAATCTTATGCTATAGTCTTTAATCTATTGCTTTGGCATTTCACATCCATCTTAACCTAAGGAAGATTCGAGGATAGGCATGTACAGCTTAAAGATGTCACAAATGTATATATTTAGGTGATATAACAGCAAACTACCTGGGCACTGCTATTACTCTTCAGTATATACACAATTCCTAGTGACAAAAATATTAGCATGATTTTGGCAAAAGGTGTTTTCCAAAATAAGGGGATCATCCTGTTGCTGAACTGAAATCTTTCTTGGTAGTTCTTTTTCCTCATATATTGACAGAAGTTACTAAACTACTATTTGAAGATAAGGCTAAAATGCAAATGCTTCGTTTTCAGAGAACCCTCCATTTTAGTGAAGCATTAAATATATTTGGGCATTTCAATGTTGATACTGTCAGTGAAATTTTATTAGCAATACAGCCAGAATTTATAATCATTTGTCATCTTCACTAGGTTCCTACAATCCATTTGTAGGTCCTTGTCCTTTGTTTGGCGTATGAGATTTATTCTTACAGATCACTTCTTAACTGATGGCTTTCTAATTAAATGAGAACGTTTGCCACAAACTAGTATTTTTCAACCTTCCATGTTATTTCTCATCTGAAAAAGACTAAAGCAGGATAGCAAGATTGTAAAATGTTGGTGTAACTTTGTTTTTGTAATTCTTGTCCTCTCCTGATCTTAAAAAAGCTCTCCACCTCCCTGTTCTGAATTTGCGGTGCTTGGTAGGAATTTCAAAAAGCCAGAACCAAACAACACCTGGTGCTTACTTGCTTTTACACATAACAAAACTTAGCTTGGGATTCTCTCATTACAGATTTTAACATACCAACATACGGTTACTTAACACTAAAGCAAAGTGTTTCATCAGATGTTGCCTGTTGATGTCCATGCTGCTAAGAGATACCCAAAGGGATGTAATTCAAACTTCATTCTTATGTTCACTTGCCTGCAAATAAGCCCCACTGAACTCAGCAAGACTGCCTCCCAAATGATACAGGCTTGCGCTATGTGTTATTCAGGTCATGCACTAATCAAACAAGTTCTTATCTTCTCCTCGCCCCACCCCAATAAATTAGGCATGTGGCATGAACAAATGTCAAACACTGTTCATTTAAAAATGTCATCTGGACTGATGGAGAAAACAGAACACAATACCAAGACTTGATTTGTACTGGGAAAATAGATACATTCTATACACACACAAGTTGAATTCACCAAAATACTCAACAAACCCCCATGAGTACTGCTACCCTGCAAAATATCTTCTGAAAACAATTCTTCAGATCTTCATTTTTTGGGGTGAAGGATTGCTTATTTTAATCTTGTAACAATTACAAATTTGAGCCAGATGTTCAAAGGAAATCACATCTGAAATTTCCTGTATTAAGGCAACCGAAGAACCATTTTAGGAATGTTCTACATATACATAGGTTGAACAATATTATGAACATTTCCTGAGGATTCAACAGTGAGTACATTAGCATGGGCTGAAACACATATGATTTCTCACAGTCAAGGCTCCAGAGTAGAACATGGTATCAGAACAACCGAAGAAAAGGTTTTATATTTTATCAGAATGCCTTTTCATTCAGATATCTTGGTTATTCATCAGGAGAATTACTACTAAGTGACAAATGCAATGCAAATAGTCTGTGACACAGAGAAACCACCATTCATTTTGCTAGGACCTATACAAGTCAGGTTCTTCATGGATAGTGTTCTCTCTGGGCAACTTTAAATAATGTTTTGAGGCCCTTGGAAAGAGAAGGCAAACAAGAAATTTGTTTCTGAAGAACACCCAAGCCATAACATACTGTTGTTCACTAAATTTGTTGGCATTCATTACATTTCTAAGCACCAGACAAAAATACCACTACAATACATGCAAGTGTAAGAAGACTTGTAGTATAAGCAGGTAAAGATTAATTCTTTCTAAATATCAGAAGATGCCAAACTGGGTTACAGCATGAATTATTACATTTATAATAACAATAATCTTAGAACTGCAGAGCTGGAAGGGACCTTATGGATCCTTTACCCTATCAAGGAGGCACGGTGTGGAACTGAACTCCCAACATGCTGGCTCCACAGCCAGACACCTAAACCACTGATGCATTTATTTACTCAAAAATATTGTTGCAACCTAACTGAGTTTTAGATCGAAATGTCTGAAAATGTTTAAGAGTTCTTGACATATTCCTTTTGAACTAATAATCTTAATGACTAGCCAATATTCTAAAGAACCAGTCATTATTAATGGTTGACTACAGCCAAGGAATCATAACCTGGACACTAGCATATCAAAATTTCATCACTACAGCCTGTGAAATTATTAAGAAGCAAATAGATGATTTCTGGCAAAATAACTGTAGTGTTTCTGGATTTTTTAAAAATAGTCTCAACATAAATGCACTGCAAGAAAAGAAACATTGATCTAATTTGCAGGAAAGACATGACCTGACACAGATGGCTGTTTTTTGTAAAAGGCTGCAAGAAGTGTTTTAATAAAGTCATTTCTTCACTCGTGAGAGACAAAACTCTCCATGTGAAGTACCAAGACTGCAACTCTTCCTGGCGACCTTTACGCAACAGCCATGCAGATTTCTCATGCTGGCTAAGGCATTCATTATGTCAAGCAATGACAGCAGAGGATACTAGAAGCAGTATCTGGCATTCAATAATTCCCCATTAACATAAAACTTTATTATATTGATTAGAATACGTTTACTTTTCCTTCCTCTAATCTTGTAAAACAAAACAAAAAAACTGCACTTGTGAATTATTCTGTGCTCAACTGTAATGACATTTCAACTATGAATTGATCTGGTTTCAAATGCAAGATAAGAAAGGCACAAAACACCACCATTCAGAGTTTAGTAATAGCCTTCTGACTTAGCCTTAATTGAAATAGATGATAAATATCCACTCAACTGATGACAGTTCTTTATGGACAAGGACAAAACCGCAGTGTGGGTAGCCTCCCTCCCCCCTAATGAAGCAATCTCTGTAGACAGACTGTTTCTCTAGCAACTTGTTATGGCTGCTCTAGTATTTGAATCCTGTCATCACTCACTAGAGACCTGGTCATGCAGAGTCTATTTTGATATCTGAAGTACATTTAAAGGTAACAGTTAAGATAAAATACTGCATTTTTCCTTTTGAAAGATGGCATAGCTTTAAAAAAAGAGAATATTCAAAATGCAAATAATCATATCTCCTCATACTTGCTTTGTAATGAGGTATTCACAGTAAATCATCATCTCCTTGTATTCTGCTCTGTAATGTGCATGGGTTGTCTTCCATTCTATACTAAAATAAACTAGGATGCCCCAGAACAAACGTGAAAAGCCTCAGGTCTGTCTGAAGCACCAAATGTAGTGCTTCAAGGAAGGATGTCTAGAAACCTTCAACTGAAATCTGTCCTAGGTTTCCAAAATCATATTGTCCACATTCTCTTCCATAAATGAACCTAAATTTTTTTTCATCTGAAGCAAGATTTAGAAAAAACAGTGTAACTTAAAATGAATGGAACAACTGTGTCTGCCAGAAGCCTAGGAGGAGGCAGTCTGTCCTTTTTTACTGGGGCATATAACCACCTTGCCTTACTGTCTGTGGTAGATAACACTTTGGCATCTCGCCATCTGTCACTGTATTCATTCTGATGGGTTCAAACTGCATGGGTGGTCCCTCTGGGCTTGAATGGAAAGCACCTGGCAGGACAACTCCTTGTTCATTCCCCTCTGAGCTCGAGCCACATATCTGTGAGTCATAAAGTCCAGCAGTATCTTCTTCATTTATCGGAGAAATTTGCTTGACTTTTTCCAAATGAGAACCATCTGTGACCGCTTCATCCCAGTTACCATTCTGCTTGAAATAGTTTCGCTTTGGTGTAGAGTTGTCACTTCCTAGCACTTGCTGGTCTTCCGGTCTCTCTTCAGAATCTAACAGAGGTTGGGTAGACTCAGACCTAGAAAAGACTTGCACTGGAGGTGTCTGGTCCCGGTAGCCATTTGGTACCACTGTTGAGTACTGCACAGTGCTGGAAGTGTTTTGAGCAGGTTCCCCTTCATCACTATCTGAAACACTCTGTCGAGGAGAAGACATACAGGACGATCCCCCGATACCACTGCTGTGACCTTCTGAAGCATTTTTCTCCTTTTTAAGCAAATCAAATAACTTCAGGTCTGGTTCAGAAAGAGACTTCTTGTCATCAGCTTCAATTTCTACAACACTGACATCAGTGAAGCTCCCTTCTGGATAGATCTGCTCTTTGGAATTAAATTGCTGGGAAAAAAAACCCCAATATATAATTATCATTACTATAAATACTAGTAGATTTTAAACTCCTATGTTTTGTCATCACTCTTATACAGTGGTGCCTCGCTTAATGACGATAATCCGTTCCAGGAAAATCGCCGTTAAGCGAAAACATTGTAAAGCGAAAATAAAAACCCAATTGAAACGCACTGAAACCCATTCAATGCGCTCCAATGGGGTAAAAACTCACCATCCAGCAAAGATCCTCCATACGGTGGCCATTTTCACTGCCTGTATAGTGAGGAATCCATCCCATAACACAGCGGGGAGCCATTTTAATCACCCGGTGGCCATTTTGAAACCACCGATCAGCTGCTCAAAAAACGTCATTTTGCAAAGAATCGGTTCCCGAAGCAGAGAACCAATCATCGCAAAGCGAAATTCCCCCAGACCATCATTTTGCGATCGCAATTGCAATTGCAAAAAGATTGTCATTAAGCGGTTTTGTCGTAATGCGGGGCAATCGTAAAGCGAGGCACTACTGTACACACAGTTTCCCCATCTTATAGGAGTTTAAAGCTTGTTTAATGGGGAGTTAATGCAGTTCCTATTTAACTTTCAGGATTAACATGGTGTGAAATCTGGATCGTCATAATGCATTCTTTAGGAATGAATATTTAATATTATTGATCATTATAATAACTGTGTGCCATCAAGTCAATTCTGACTTATGGCAGCCCTTTTCAGGATTTTCCAGGTAGAGACTACTCAGAAGTAGTTTACCATTCCCTTCTTCTGGAGGCACCCTGGGACTGTGCAGCTTGCCCAAGGCTACACAGGCTGGCTTTTCTAGCGTGCATTGGACGTCCAACCTCTGGCTCTGCAGCCAGGTACTTCATGCACTGAGCTAGCCAGCCTCGCTCCAATTTATTAAAACTGCTTGAACATTAAGCATTCCAGATTTAAAGTCTGTCTCACAGATGCATTATAATTCATCTCATTCTGGCATTATTCAATGTATGCCTTTAAGACTAAGTAGTGTAAGGCAGTTTGAATATTCTCTAAGGCAAGGATCTCCAAACTTCTGAGTGTGAGGACCACATTGTATATTTTCCACATCTTCGAGGGCCAAAGGAACATGCACGATTCGAGTTATGAACTCTTTTTCCCCCTTTTTTTAAAAGCTAAGTCATCTTAGGTTAAAAGGAAAAAAGAAAAAAATATCCCCCTCTAGTGGCAGAAGGCGGAATAGCAGCTTCCCATTAGTTTCTATGGACGAAAAGAGCAGGTACAGATTAAATGGTTTTCAGTGCATTCCTATGGGAAATGAAGATTCGACTTACGAACTTTTCGACCTGAGAACTGCCTTCCAATACGGATTAAGTTCGTAAGTCGAGACCCCACTGTACTACTATTATATTGATGGGCAAGCCATTTGTTAAAAAAAAAATACCTTAGATGGTGTTTGCGGTGACCATTGAGCAATCACACTCTTTGAAGGATCAGGCACATTAGGCCAGATGTGCTTCTTGATGCTGGCAAAGGGGAGAAAAAGGAAAGTCACTGAACTACAACCATATGGACCTAGCAAGAATTCTCTGCGCATCATTCATTGATAAAATCATGCCAACATTACATTGTCATACATTTTAACAATTCTTATCATACATATTGTTTTCACTATTGAGATATCCACTGTAAGGACAATATCTGATTCCACCTATATTTTGAAAATACAAGAAAGGATTACCTAGACAAGAGAAATCAGCATGAAATCTTGGTTTCCAAATAAAATTACTCACAAACTCTTCCTTGCTTAGCACCAAGAACAGCTGCATTTGAAGGCTGTTGCCACTGATGAGTAGAGGAAGCAAGCAGAGGCTTGCATCTGGTTTTATTTTCTCTACACAGTAGAATTAGCACTGCACTAGCAAGGCACCCCCTAATATATGCTTCCATATACATATAACTACTTTATATCAGGTATTTAAAAAAATCAACACTATTCTAGTCTGCACACAGGAAACTTACAGCCAAAGTGCACTTGAAAGCAATTCTGTTTTAAAAAAGCAATTGGGACTCTCTGCTTTAGAAAGGATACTTTTATCTAAAATTATAAAGAAATACATGATCTAGAAATTGTGCCACAACTCATGCCTGGATCATGTCTCAAACTGCTTGCAGATATATTTTTCCATGTGCCACCAAGAGATATGTGCTGGGAATGCAGGACCAGGCCTTCTTGAGGAACTTCAACTGGGGAATTCCTCCCCAAGAGAGAGCAATTGGCCAGCTCACTGGAGATGTTTAGGCACGTGGTTAAGGGACATTTACCCATCCAGGCTTTTTATGTATTAAAACTGTGAATCACTTGAACTGACTTGTTTTAATGGTCTCTTTTCTGCTTTATTATTGTACTTGGTTTCTTACTAAAAATATACACAGCCCTCCTGAGGACTAAAAGACAGTATATGATTTATAAATGTACAAACTCTCTTTATGTTAAAAAAAATAAAATGAAATTACTCACTAAATCCTTCTGAATTCCCACAGAATAATTGCACGATTTCCCGCTTTGGGGAAGCCTCCAAAGTATGATTAAATGCTACCTCGATAATTTTCACAGACTATAATGTTCACATTGTTAACTTCAGATAACATTGCAGTTAACTTAATAAGGATACTTACATGTCTCGTTTGCTGAAGCAAAATAATACACCTAATAGAGTAAACGCTAAGAATGCTAGACAGACAGGAACAACTATTGCTTCAATTTCCCCTTCTCCTAAAAGATAAACACAGAAGGAAATCAACACTTTTCTTAAGTCACATACCTGACACAAACATGATTTAAAACACTGCAAATCTATTAAATGGCTATTGCAATGGCATAGGACAGGTTGTTGACCCTGTTCTTCACCTAAGAAAAAACACTGAACTGACCAAGATGAAGCTGTAATACACGAGCAAATTCTCTGTATTTTTATTTATTGACTATACTCCCTTATTTTTCCATTAAAAATGCCAAGGCGGGTGTCAAAAATATCTCAATAAAAATTTATCAGTCCTTGTAACATAAGCAGATAACCCTATGGTCTAAAATGACAAGAGCAGATACAAAACAAGTAGTAACATAAAACACAAAACGTTAGTAGGCCAAAGGCTGTTTAAATAAAAAGGGGTTTGTTTCCAGTGGAGAACCATTAATGTTTGTGGACAGATGGGCCTTCCTGGGTAGAGATCTCCTAACTGCATGAGCACCCACTGAAAGGAGCCTCTTGAATATATGCAGACAATATCCAATACTGAATGAGGAAAGTAACAACACAAATTATAGATTCATTTACATTTTAGTGATCAAGTTAGAATCATCATGTTTACATCATGGTCCTAAAGCAGAAAATTAAGATAGTTAAAGAAGTTATCAAGTGCTGTTTGTTTAAATTACATCCTAAAAATTGGAACAAATGTATTACCAAATTTCTTTGTAGTAAATGTAAACTGAGGACCATTTCTTCCTCCTTTTTCTGTGTATGCTGCCATCTGCACCGTGTATAAAGTATCACTTGACAAAGAAGACAGTGGGTACTCCGTCTGGGAAGCATTCACAATCACAACTAGAAGAGAAAAAAATGTCCTCTTTATTCAATTTACTCTATATAAGCTCTTGTATGAAATCTATACAACAAACAAGTTTTAACTAATAACTTCAACTTCCATAATCCTATCAAAAAGTAAATCTGTGGATGTTGTAAGATCTGAATATATATCATCCTTCATTTCTAATTTAATCAAAATCTTCTTGAATACCAATATAAATAATATGTTTATATTTTTATAGACTAAAATATACTAAACAGATTGCTATATGTTTATATTAATACATTTTATTATATTGTGTTAGGAAGATCAAATGAAAGTGAGAACACATCTAGCTCAAAAACAAAGAAACACTTAAATATCAATACAATGTAACCTTCATTTTACAAGCAAAAATAAAATGCAAAATAATCAGACTATATATAAATATATAGTTTATTTATTACAATTATAACCTACCTTTCTGTTGAAAGATAACACTCAAGGCAGTTTAGAAAAACATATTGCACAAAAACTTTAGCATATTCCAAGTGTATGAATAAACAGTGACATTAATAATTACACTGTGGCACCGACTTTCCTTTCACCTCTGACTGCATCAGCCACTATTTTTCCTTGTGGTTTTAATCTAGCGACATCATTAGATTTGTACTTGTCCTTTGCTATTCCCTAGTAGCTAACTGAATGCTGTCTGACCTGGGAGTCTAACCTTCCAGCATTATCTTTTGTCTCATTTTGGAATGTCTCATCATAGGGGTTTCAAGGTAAGTAATGTTCTCCACAGTACTAACAAAAATTAGCTTCAGTGACACTGCCATTATCTGTAAAAGATCCTCTGACAGCGTCACTCACCTTCAGCTAGCACTGCTGCCCAGCAGCCACCCTCCAGAGGTTTCTCTACCCCCATCATCACTGGAGTTATTTGTTTTCTTCTGCTGTTGCAGCCACTAATTCTGAAGAGGATGGGTGCATCATAGTCTGGTGCTTCCACTGTGAACATTCTGCCTTAAGTTACCCTGTTAGGAGCCCAGAGCAGACTTTGGTCTAGATGGGCGGGGTATAAATGAATGAATGAATGAATGAATGAATGAATGAATGAATAAATAAATAATGGTGCCCAGCTTCCCAACAGCACTGCTCTCAGCTTCTCTGATACAGTCAAACCCGCTAACCAAGTTACGGTGTGCATCCATTCCATATGCAGTAGTTAATGAGCAACACAGAAAAGCTGAAATGAAACATGGCTTTCATAGTGTCAGCATCCACAATGGATTTGTATATACAGTGGTGCCTCGCATAACGATTTTAATTGGTTAAAAAAAAAAAACGTTATGTGAAACATCGTTATGCGAAACACCATTTTCCATAGGAATGCATTGGAAACCGGTTAATCCGTTCCAATAGGCACGGATTGCCGTCCTTAAGCGAAAAAAACCATAGGAAACATCGTTAAACGATACAATGTTTCCTCCATTGGAATGTATTGTAGCTGACTCAATACATTTCAATGGCTTTGCGAAGTCAATTTTTGCAAAATTAAGTGTGTCATAAAAGGGTCAAAAATGGTTTTAAATGCTTGGATTAGATTCTGCTCCCTCTAAACCGGATGCAAAAGTTAATTTGGCTTTGATCTGACTTTTCGTTAATTAATGGTGAATTTTTTTCCCCCAACTTTTGACAGGTCCATTGGTTCCTATGGGCCGGAAAAAAAATTAACCATAAATTAACGAAAAGTCAGAGCAAAGCCAAATCAGGTTTGCACATGACTTAGGGGGTCCTCTAACGAATCCAAGCATTTAGAACCGTTTTTGACCCTTCTAAGACACTTTTTTAATTGAAAAAAAAATCGTTAAGTGAAGCAGGGGACCTAAAATCGCATTCGTTATGCGAAGCATGGTCCCAAACTTCGCTAAGCGAAAATCACCCATAGGAAACATCGTTATACGGTGCATATTATTTTCTAAAAAAACACATCCTTATGCGAATTCATCGCTAAACGAGGCAATCGTTAAGCGAGGCACCACTGTAATCCTATACATAATGACATAGTCTTTAGTAACCTAGTGCTGTTTAATGGTCTTATTTCTAGGTGAACATTTTTCTTCTTCTCAAAGAATCAAAGAGTGGAGCTCACTTTCTGTGCTGAATTGGGCTGCAAGTTCATAGAATTTATGTATTTCTTACATTTTTATGCCATTTTTCTTTGGGTAAAGGGACTGAAGGCTCACAGAACCATAGGACTTAGAATTGAAGGAATCCTTGGACCACTAAATCCAACTCCCTTCCTGAAGCAGGTGATCTACAATTAAAGCATGCCTAACAGGTAGACATCAAAACTCTGTTTAAAAGCCTTCAACAAAGGGAATTCCTAGCACATCCTGAAGCAGTCAATTCCACTGTTAAAAGCACTTGCTATCAATAAATTCTTTCTAATGTTTAGGTGAAACCTCTTTTCTTGTACTGTAATTTGAATCCACTACTTTGGAGCCTTGAAAACAAGCTTGTTCTATCTTGTCCATGACACGTTTCAAATATTTGAAGACAGCTATTGTATCACATCTCAGTCTTCTCCTCTAAAAATACCCAGCTCCCTCAACTGTTTCTCACTGGACTTGGTTTTCAGATCTTTCACCATCCTGATCATTCTCTTCTGGACACATTCCAGCTTTTCGATATCTTTCTTAAAATGTGGTGCCCAGAACAAGACACAGTATTCAAGCAGAATGCAGTGATACTATTGCTTCCCTTAATGTAGACACTATACTTCTGTTGATGCAACTCACTTAGCTTGTTGCCTACTAAATCCCTATTAAAATCCTTTTTACTGGTAATAATGCCTATGATAAAACCATAGAACTGTGGAGCCCATGGATCACTGAGTTCAACATGCCAGTACCGAAACAGGAAATCCACAGCTAGAGCATCCCTGACAGGTGGCTGTTGAACTCCCTTTTAAAAAACTCAAATGAAGGAGATACCACCCAGCCCAAGGCTGTGCATTCCACTGCTGAACTTAAACCAAGAGCACTAGGGTCCTGTGGATGCAGGACCATGAAGGCAAATGATCAGCCATCTCATTTGGGATAAGTTGGGCTGAGATCTCACACTGTGGAAAAATCAGGTGATTTTTATTACAGTGACAAATCCGAACACAAATTGAGGGAGATCTGTGCCTACAACCTGAAAATAAAGCTTAACAACATTTAAAAATGTACTACTATTCTGTGCAATAACGATGCAAAGGTACGCAAAACAAGATTACCTGTTTTATTTCCAGTTACTGTGTTATAAGTTATAGTGTAGTATTTGATAAATCCATTTTGCTCTTCCACTGAAAGAGGTTTCCACTCTAACACAGCTTCAAATTTTCCAACTTTCTTTGTTTGAACAGTGGGTCCATTCAAAGGCACTATTAACAAAAAATATTTTTAAACTTTATTTATGAAGAACAATGCTTGGTAAGTAATCATTTCATATGGCTGCTCAATCAAATACCCATTCAGAGGAATAAAAAGTCTAAACTTCAACAACTTAAATAATATTATATGTCAAGGTGTGTATTGTCATAAAAAGAATATGTATTTGGTTATGTTTTCTATGATCTTACCATCTTGTTGAAGGTATGCTTGTGTTGATTTTCCTTCTCCTTGTCCATTTGCATATAATGGAATCACAGTTATAGTGTAACATTTTCGTGGTTTTATGTCTCCTAAGGAAATAAGTTCAGGAGTCAGATTCACAGATTTTAAGTCAATCTTGTACAAATACCATATGCAGAAATATAAATGCTTATTCTGAATAATAATAATTGTTACAAGCTCCAAATATCACGACTCCCTAAGAAAATCCTGTTCTGTTTCCCACAGTACGCAAAAATCTTCAAAAAACTGAAGCAGGAACTGAAAATCAAATGAGGAGAATAGTTTAAATATTTACAGTCCACTGTTGCTGCCTGCATCAGCAAACGGTTCCAGAAATACAAAAGAGTATTTTACTCTGTCTGAACTACAGCTTGTTCTATTGGCACCTACAGGTGAAATTGTCAAGCCAGCTGTTATCATGAACAATGACATAAGCTATGAGCAGTTACTGCAGATTTTGTTTGGATTTTGTGGCCAGGACAAACAGTGGAAGTGTAGCTGAACAACAGCCAGTATATTAGTTTCTAAAAGAAAATACCTGCAATACTGCAAACCTGTCAACTAACAGGATTGCTTTTTAAATATAGTTTTGAACCAATTTTAAAGTAGGTATGTATGGATAAAGCAACCTAGCTTTGATTTCTAACTCTTTACTTATTTATCAAATGATGCTACTGCAGTGTTGCCCCACTGATTAGCGGAAATCTCTATGCCTCTCTTAAAGATTCTGCTCATTCTATAATTTTTGGAAGGCCTGGGAAACGTGATGGTATTTTAGCTAGCTGACATACTGGTGATCACTAATGAGTCATACTGTCTTAATGTGTCTGTCTACAATACGTCTTTCTCTTCAGTCCTCTCTGCTCAACATTTCCACCTATCAGACACTATTTGTAACCCTTCTGCCAACCACTTGTACACATGCGGATGGAGCAAATGATACTGAACTTCGCCACAAATTCTGTTTATCCATACCTTGCTACCCTGTTAGTTTTCCTTCATGTATCTTAACTTGTATGTGTAACCTGCATAATTAAATTGTAAACCACTCAGAGAGTACTTTGAGCATTATGGGACAGTATATAAGCATCACTCTTTAGTTTTGCTTTGCTTTGTATGGATTATCTCTACTTTTGATACAACAGGCTTTTAAATCTGCAGAATTCTGGGTGCATGGAACATCAAGCTTCTGTAATACCACAAGACTTCTATCAATGTTGAGGAAGAATGCACAGGATGACAGATTTGACTGAAGGAATAAACCTATATGCCATGTGATTTTATACTCCTACTGATTCCTAGAGCTGTGGAACAAGGTGTGACAAGCAATCGGAATTCTAAACTATTACAAACACTACCCCTTTATTATTTATATTTCTCTTTATAAACATACAACATTCCATGTTAACTGTTATAAAAGCTCTTTTAATGAAAAAGGTCAATACATTTAAAGCATTTTATTTCTATAAAACCTTTCTTAAAGCCAACAACTCAAACAACTGCTGACTCTCTATTGTAGAAATACCTATTACATTCCAAGATTACCTTTTAAAAATGCACTATGTTTCATCCCAGGTTCCTGTTGCCATTCGGTACTGCAGTCTGAACTGTCACACTCTTCATACCATTCAATTATGTATTTACTAACAAATTCTCTGGGTGCTGTCCAGTTTACCCAGAGTTTGCCATCTTTAGGAAATGCCACAACATCTTTCACAGGAGCTGAAATGATCAAACCATCCAGTCTTTATTTTTGGAACAGCCTTCATGCAAAGATTTCAATGTTCTACAACTTTCTTCCAAAAATAAAATTGAAATTTAAAGCCAAAGGCTCTTATTTGAGCTCTCTTTTTGGAACTTTTAGAGCTGTGAATAAATTTCACTGCATCACATCTAAAAACCAAATCTAGTCCCTAAAGTCATAGACCAAGGATAAGTAAATGTGTAGGTTCCTAGAACATTCTGGGAGCTGTATAAACTAAGAGTTTACAAACAGCAAAATACTTAAATGCATAAAATCCAATACCCAGCAGATATAAGCTGTACTAACAGGTAACAACAACAATAATAATAATTAGTAGCAGTAGTAGTATCAGTATTATTAATTATATTGTGCTCTATACCAGAGTGCATTCCAATAGTTAAAAACAAAATAAAACTATAATATAATTACAATGATAAAAACATACAATAAACAATTATCATTCAATAAGTCAATAAACAATCAAAATAGCTATAATAACAATACAGTTGTGCCCCACTGGACGATTACCCCGCTCTACGACGAATCTGCGTAACATTGAAGCTTTTGCGATCGCTTTTGCAATCACTTCACAATGTTTAGATGAGGTTTTTTCGCTTAGTGATGATCGGTTCCCTGCTTCGGGAACCAATTTTTCGCTTTACGACAATCAGCAAACAGCTGATCGTAGGGTTTCAAAATGGCTGCCAGCTGAGTTAGGGATGGATTCCTCGCATTACAGGCACCAAAAAATGGCCGCCTTATGGAGGATCTTCGCTGGACGAGCAGGCATTCAGCCCACTGGAATGCACTGAATGGTTTTCAATGCATTTCAATTGGTTTTTTAATTTTCGTTTGACGATTTCGCTCTGCAGCAATTTCGCTGGAACGAATTAACGTCAAGCGAGGCACCACTGTATAATAATTAAAGTACAGTAATTCCATCCCAATAATTGCCTATTTCCATGGTCAACCCCTATGGTTCCATGTTGAACAAGTAGGTTTTTAAGTCTTGTTTGAATTTTTCCAATTCTGGTTCCACGCGAAGGTATTGCAGAAGGGAATTCCATAATTTTGGGGCCAGATGAGAAAATGCTCTAAGTCTGGAGTTAGCCACCTTGGCCCAAGGAACTAGTAAAAGACCAGAATCTGCAGATCGAGTCCTCCTGCGAGGAATATGCCACCCCACAAGTTCCGCTAAATAGCTAGGGCAAGAGAAATGTAATGCCTTAAAGGTCAAAACAAGAACCTTATAATATGTTCTTGATCTGATAGGTAACCAGTGCAATGCCCTGAGGTGCTGGGAAATGTGAGAGTAGCGTGGCAAGTTTAAAACTACTTGTACCGCACTATTCTGCACCAAGGTGAGAGGACAAAATGCAGAAGGAAGACCAGCTAACAAGTTATTACAATAATCTAAATGTGAAACCATCAGGGCATGAACAAGACGTTTTGTAGTTTCAGGAGTCAGGAAGCGATGAATTCAGTGAATATTAGCCAAATGTAGATTACATGTCTTGGCTGTCGCATTCACAAATGAATAAAGCGACAGCCAATCATGCACTAGAACATCAAGATCCCTAGTCTCTGAGACAGGGGTCACCAAGTAGCCGGTGTGAGAAATAGAGGAAACAGTCAAAGGACAAATGGGACGATCTGGGTAAAAGATCAGGATTTCAGTCTTGTCCATATTCAATTTCAAGTGGTGAGAGGACATCCACAATGAAACATTTGACAAACAACTTGTCAAAGAAGTCCAGACATCATTATTAAGCTCTGAGTAAGACTGATATACTTGGGTATCATCCACATAGATATGATAGTGAAAGCCCTGTTCAGAAATTATGGTGCCCAGGGGAAGCGTATATATATATAAAAAAGAACTGGCCCCCAAGACTGAACCTTGTGGGACACCAACTGTGAGAGGAAAAGGTTGAGAGGTTTTAGTATCCAATGATACTGAGAACAAACAATTTGACAAGTAAGAAGAGAACCAAGAGCTAGCACTATCAGGGATTCCCAAAGAAGCCAACCTTGTCAAAAGTATTTGATGGTCAAGTGTGTCGAATGCTCTCAACAAATCAAGCAGCACCAACACCGATGAATGATGTCGAGTCTTGGCCAACAAGTTATCATTCAAGACTCGAGAGAGTACAGTCTCTACTGAATGTCCAACCCGAAAGCCAGATTGAAATGGATCAATGGCATTATGATAGACTAAATAAGGAGTCAATTGAGAAAGAACACCCCTCTTTATAAGTTTAGATAGAAAAGGAAGGACAGAAAGAGGTCGATAGTTGGCATAAACAGAAGGATCGAGGGAAGGATTCTTCAACAGGGGGACGAACAAAGGAATGCTTAAGAGAACTTGGAAATTTACTGAGCTAGACTGTCAATTATCGTCTAAATGCATACACTGTGGTCTTCACCAATCTAAGAATGGCTGTAAGATCCTCTGAATCAGAGCCGCTGTAAAGTTACTAGATGAAACCTTAGACAGTTTCCTTCTAATTACCATCTGAACAGGCAAGATAGTGGGGAGAGGAAATATACAATAACTATGCACAAAACGGGTCAGATAAGCCATTATCTAAAATAGTAGCTGAAGAGAATTCTAGCCCCTTATAGATAAACAAATCTAAGGTTTTACCTCCAATGTGAGTAGGAGGAAATGGCAATAAATTGAAGTTGTGCATATTCAATATGGAAGAAAAATCCTCCCACAATTTAGATTCTTGATGGATATTAAAATCTCCAGCAATTATACAGGGCAGCTCTGTATCCAAAAAAACCAGACAACCAGGTGGAGAATACAGTAGTTTTGATCCCATGATGTTATTAGCAGCGTGATACTAAAACTAGAGTTCTGTTGTGGAAAGTGGAAATAATCAGGAAAATGCAGCTTTATTATAATTCTCAGTTCATTTTTAAAAGAAATGAGGATAGTGAATTCAACATTTGAAACAAAGAGATATGTAAGAGAAATATTTTAAAAGCTTAATATTTATTGGGAAGATTTTAGAAAACTAGACATATATTAGACACTGATAAAACTCTACAGAAAACTTACCTTTTGAGTTTGTGGCTGAGACAAGCAAAACTGACGTAGGAGATTTACCAGCGCTGTTATATGCTGTAACCCTCACTTCATATGTCCCATTGTGTACATTCAGAATGAGCTTTGTGGCATTCATGTGGGAGTACACTTTCACTGGAAAAGAAAGTGGTGGCCTTCCTGAAACAGACACTTCATATCCTAGGATTACTCCATTGGCTTCAGAAGGTTCCAATTCCTGTTTAAAAGCACATTTGATTAATTTGTCCCTTCTCTGTGAACATATAAATTGTGTTGCATAACAAGACTTTTTAATATCAGCAAGCTCACCAATGTCTACAGCAGAGATGTTTCCCAACTTTGCTATGCAAGAATTCTTTTTTTACAAATCCAATTATTTAAGAGTGACCCTGTGACCTTCTGTAAGCGAAACACTTATTAAGCTAGGTGAGAAAGCTGATCAAAATGTCCACTTAGTGATAAGGTTTACTAGAGCAAGGTATACCCTGGACAAGACAGGACACAAAACAGTAAAAAAGGAGGATCCACTGAAATTACAAGTGTTGTGATCACTGGACTGGAAATCAACACATATAAGAAACGTCATTATTCTCATGAAGCAAAATACAGGATTAGAATAAGAATTCCTAATCAACATGGTTAAACAGATTCGTTCAGCTGCTTCACACTGATATTCATAATCTCTATGTTATAGCATACTGAAATGAGGCATGGAGTAGAAGATTCAACAGAATTTAAAGGTTTATAGCAAACAGAGTTGTGCATTGTAGCTGAATTATGAGAGAAAGGACTAACTGCTCTTCCCAGGTTAAACATTAAGCATATTTTTATGATGCTCTACATGGTTTGGTATCAAAAGATATCAAATTGTGTTGTCAATCCATCTGAAGAGATGGGATTCGGAACTTCCTCTTATATAGGAATTGCTGGAGGAAAATGTAAAGTTGTGAAGTCAGTTGTGTTATGAATAGTCACTGACTATCTGCCACAGGAACACCTATGTGTATGCTCTTGTTGTAGATGTATCATAGATAAATAAAACTTGAATCCTAGTCCAAATAGAAAGGCAGAATATGTATGTATCATGGCTACCCAAGACAAGGCACAGTGCAGCTCCTGCCCATGACAGCTTGATGCTGCTTTTATATAATGGTTAATTAACCAAAGCACAATAGTCTGCAGCCAAACTCAAGATATTTTCTTGATGCCTCTCATGAAGTACATTAATAGCGACACACTCAGTGTCATCAAATCTACATGTTCTTGTTCTAGTAAAAGAGAATGGACACATATACTAGTGCTTTGTGAGTCAAAACTGATGATTTCTTCTAATGATGTAAGCTTGATGGAAATCTCTCAGACAACAATTTACAGAATTCCACTACAACATATATTTGTGCTATGTCTGCACTGAAATATATGAAACATTTAAGTTATTTTCCTATTTATTCAGATCTTTTTATCTTCAGTTTTCATAAAAATCCCACGGCAGGCAACAATAAAACAGAGAAGCATGTGTCCAGAGCTCGATTAAAACACACTGAAGCCCTAAATTACACCAAATTTAAGAGGACTGATAGCATCATCAAAAATATAACATGTGCCATTTTAACCAGTGCATAAAACGTGAAATATACATAAACTAAGACCCAAATAATAATAACAACATATGCTATCCAATCAATTCTCACTTACGGTAACCTCAAGCTAATTTAATGAGCATATTTGACACTCACCCTATATTGTATTGTGATGGGACAGTATACTAGCATGGGCAGACTGATATAGGCAGAAACATTCCTTTAGACAGAAAATACAGAAGCAATAGTGACGATCCCCTCTCATAAATAAAAGATACTAAATGTACATTCTGAAGATCACATACTAAATTAATTTTACAAATTCTTCCATCTATGTCAAGAACAATATGTTATTCAGGGAAATGTCCTAGAAAAAATGTTTCCAATATGATTTCACAACTGCTATGTCAATGCTATGTGTTTTGAAAGAAATGAAATGAGGATGCTAGAGGCAGGTATATTAGTGAAAGTATAAGCACTAAGGCTAGTAAAATATTGATATTATTACTTTCCAGGTCAGCTCCAGAGTCCAGTTTCCAGGAGAGTGAGTACTAATCTTCCGCCAAACAGCTGGTCCTTTAGACGGTTCTGTTGGGGAAAATACACATAAGGTTTAGAAGTTCTATTTAGGACACTATTCATTTTGATTGCTGGGCCATAGTGTTGTGGCATTTTAAAGACTTGTACCTTTGTTCAGACGTGCCCTTTTTCACACTTATTTTGCACTTTTATTCAAGACTTTCACAGTGTTTCTCTGAAATCCACACCCTGCCTGTGGCCGGGAATGTCAATGAGAAAGCTACACTGCCAAAAGGTATTTAGCTATAGAGAAGATTCCAGGCACGGCTCTGCGCAAGGGCAGACCTATTTTAGTGTGATTAACAGAGACTACAAAGAACCACCACCAGTCTGATTTTTTTTTTGCCAGACTCGTCCACTCATGGATCTGGCAGCAGCCCCTCTATTCCTTCTAATCGCTCCCAGAGTGCCACTCAGCTAGCGACTCAGCAGCCTTGCAGAGAGACTACTCTTCTCTCCCATTGTCAGAAGTGGCTAGCTGAGCAGGACTCCAGGAGCGATTAGAAGTAAGAGAGGCGCCGCCACCACTGCCAGACATGTGAGTGGATGATCTGGCCCCATTAAGTCCAGCTGTAGTAGCAGTAGTAGTAGTAACGTTATTACGGTCAAGGACCCGTAAGACCAGAATATAAAATAAATACATACAAATGTAGTTTTGTAAAATTAAGCAGAATTATAAATGTCCCATTAAAAACATGATAAAACAACCTCTTCTTTCAAATTAATAACTGTAGTGATCACCCATGGTATGAATATTCATCAGTGTATTTGCATGTACCAATGAGAGCTGTTGGGAGGCGGAGCCAGAGAAACTAGAAGGGAGGGGTAAGTCAGAGTCTAGTCAGTTCACTCAGAGACAGAGAAGAGAGAAGATAGTTTGGGTTTGAGGCAGGGAGAGTGTTTAAGGAGTCATTAGTCAGAGTATGACCTGTATTAAGATAGGTTAAGTAAAATACTGAAGCTTTGTGTAACTTCAAGAATGTGCTTAAGAACTATTCCTAAAACAACTTGTAATCAATAAACCTGTTTCTGTTTAAAAGTTCAGTACTGAATGGCCCTCAGTCTTTCATAGGAAATATAGTTTGATAAAGAAATCAACTGGCGGCAGTGTGTCAAGGGGCGTGTTGAGATAGTTTTTTAAAAGTTTTTTTTAAAATAGAAGTTTTTTTAAAAAAGATGTATTAAGACTATTAAAATGCATAAATATTTTTAGTGCAACCAACAAATTACTTCACATTCTTTAAATAAAATGTTTAAAACACCAGAAACAAACAAAGGTCAATAATAAAAGAGAGGTTACTTACTGTAACCATGGTTCTTCAAGTGGTCATTCTGTGAATTCACACAAAAGGGTTAACCAAGCGCCAGCATTGGGCCTCTTGGAATATTCTCGAGCTGTAAGAGAAATGTAACAGTGTAGGGCTGCCTACACTGCGCAAGCTCCGCCCACCCGAGCCTTAGTTCCATTTATCCGCCACTGGTACCTGGACCTGAGGTAAACACAAACAGTGACAGATAGAGGGGAGGCCAGGCGGGACTGTGTGAATTCACAGAATGACCACTTGAAGAACCATGGTTACAGGTAAGTAACCTCTCTTTCTTCATC